ATCGGCTACTGTCTATCTTTCAAACCCCGTGAAAATAAAAATAATTTAATTTTTTGGATAAAGTTTATTTCTTTATTATTTTTATTATGTAGCATTAAAAAATACATACAGCACTAAATTTTCATCCCTCTACGATCAACCCCTATTTTTAGTACAGTAGATATTTATTTTTATTCAACTAAAAAAAATATTTAAAAAAAATAATATACATGGCAAAACAACGTTTGCCGGATCAGCTAGTAAATTATATATAATAATTAATAACAAACAATTACAATAAAAATATAGCCAAAGATGGAATACATAATGTTTAACTACAAAAAGTTTCAATTACATATATATACAAAAGGAAACAAACAATAAAAATTATTCAATGCATTTAACTGAGTAATACCTGATTTGGCTGTGTTGTGTTAGTGTGTATGTGGGGTGTGCTCGTGATGCAGGTGATTGCGCTATGCATATTCTTAATACTCATTTGAACCATATTCCGCCATAGCTTAAACAAGTCAAGGCTACTTACTATTACTTCTGTTACACCACACATACTTACTGCTCACATTTCCACGGCATTCATTGTACTTTCATTCTTGCTCTGCTCCCAACGTTCACACCCCTACGTACCAGTCTAGCCGAGCCTCATTTGAGATTTCTTGGCTACAGATAAAGGCATGCAACTCTCCAGTCACTCTATTCCCAGCATTCACTTGTTTTTCTATATCGTCGTCATACTTTGATTTTTTGACGTTCATAAGTGTACATTTTGTTACCTATATGAATATATGGTTTTTTAATTTTGATTTTTTTTCCATCCGGAGTAAAAAACCTTTTCTACGTCTATACAAATATCGAATATAGTCTTACGCCCGCACCCAATTATCAATCCACAATCTCAGATTGTAAACCATCTGAGATCAGACCGTGACAGGCGATCAATCTCCTATCTGCATCCCAAAAACCAAACCCTACGAAGACAATCCATTTTTGGCGACGGATAAAATGCTCTTTGTCGTTCCATTTTACCTAGTTTTAACTCATATTTGATGATCAATGTAAACCAAATAAAGTAAATAAAACCGTACAAATAACATTAAAATATAAATGTGTATGTTTAAAACATAACAAACAGTTTTTTTAATTATTTAAAAAACTGGTGTAAGTTAAAATCTGTTAAAATAATTAACTGTTCAAATCGACCTTTCGTCAACTGTTATTTTCGTACAAAGGTCTATCCACAGACACCGATATGATCTCCCATAGATAGCTTGTATCGGCAGATGGCTATTACAATCCGTCGATTGGTTATTGGCACACATGTTACAACATTTGGATTAAGATTACTATCTCAGATGGTGGATTATGGATTGAGGCCGGTTATTGGGTTCGGGCGTTATTGACACTAAGATTAATGCAATTGAATGTTACTCTATTCCCAGCATTCACTTGTTTTTCTATATCGTCGTCATACTTTCCATCCGGGGTAAACATACCTTTTCTAACTCTATGAAAATATTGCATGTAAAAAATTGACACCAGCGGGCGTTTAAACATTACACGGATAATTATTAATTGAACACTTAGATTACTCAGGAATCACTCTATCTGTTGGTGCAATTGTTTGGTAGGTTTATCGCGTTCATACAGACGCGCCATGTTATATGTATGATAACATATACATTCGTTAACATATAAAGATAATAATGGAAAGTTATCACCTAGTCTTATCCTATAAAAATTTGTAAATAAGGAAAGCTAGGTCATTAGCTCATGGTAACTGTTACCTATGTTACATACTAAACCATATAATCATGGGCAATGTTGGCCTAGTGGCTTCAGCGTGCGACTCTCATCCCTAAGGTCTAAGGTGCTATCCCCGGCTGTGTATCAATGGACTCTCTATGTGCGCATTTAACATTCCCTCGAACGGTGAAGGAAAACATCGTGAGGAAACCGGCTTGTCTTAGACCCAAAAAGTCGACGGCGTGTTTCATAGGAGGCTTGATCACTACTTGCCTATTAGATTAACAAATGATTATCAAAAAGATTCCGAAATCTGAGGACTAAAAAGGTTGTAGCGCCACTGATTTATTTATGTTACATGATCAGATACATTATCTCTTATTATTGAACTAAAAATAAACTCATCTTTGATATGTTGTATTTCATTATTGACGTTAATAAGTGTACATTGTGTTATCTAAATGAATCAATTATGTACAGAACTAGTGGACCCCACAGACGTTGTCCTGCATGATATTTAAAGCGATTAGGATATTAAGCAAAGTATGAAAGTACCGACTGCAGTGCCATCTGCCGGGCTGATTTGTGAATCTAAACCATTCCCAGATCCCCTTGAACACACACAAAAAATTTCATCAAAATCGGTCCAGTCGTTTGAGAGAAGTTCAGTGACATACACACTCACAGAAGAATTATATATATATATATATAGATATGCAAAAATATGGCAGATATAGACAAGACTATAAAACCTTAGAGTTTGTCAATAGTTTAATAGCTATTTGACATATAATAATAATAATAATAGCCTTTTATTTCATATACTTTTACACTTAGGGCCAGTTGATCCGTAGTAAAAAATGGTTTTACCATTGTTACATTAACATAGTTAAATGAATAACATTGGTAAAATCGTAAATGCGTTTTTCATGCCTTTTTTAACTATAGTTAAACTTAACAATTTGTCAATTTGTTGCCAGTGCAATGAGCAATGATCCCAAAAAATTGGTTCTTTTTGTGGGGAACATTTATTTTGTATAACAACACTAAATTGAGTGAATGAAATCCATGCCCTCACGATCGGCTTGAAGAGTTTGAAGTTCAAATTAATCTAAAAAAGATATAAATAAAGTTGTTTTTCTGTGATTTAATACGGTACTTACGTCTTAAATATATAAATAACGATGTCCGCAAAACCAACGGTAAATAAGTAAGTACAAACATATTTTCGTTTATTTATTCCGGTTTATCTTGTGTTTCGTAATAGAAAGTAATACATTTTGTTTTGTTAAAGGGACCATACTGCTAACTTCGCCAAAAAGAAACTGCCAAACTGGTGATGCTTCTCAAGGATTACACAGTCGTAACCTCAAACAACTGATCACTGCAGCAATCTACAAATAGATGCAGCTTGGAAATCTCTGAGACGTTTTCAATCAGATGGGTCTAGACACCGAAGTGTTACATTTAATGAAGGTGTAGGCACATTTTTATATTTATTCTTGTATAGCTTGTCCTACAACAAAAGGAAAAAATCTTTTAACCCTTTGGAAACAAGGAACGGATTATGATCCACACGGATAAAAAAAATTGAGTTTTTGAAACAAAGACAAATAAGAGAGGATGATTTGTTCAATTATGCTAAGGAAGAGCATCAAAAACATTTGCTGCACCAATGAGAGGCCCACCAAAAATTCTACTGCTAAAAGGAAGTGCACCAAAAAGTGATGCAGCAGATGGAAGAAAGGCACATAAATATATGTAGCAGCAAAAGAGTTGCATCAAATTGAGGTGAAATGCAAGAAGAAACAATTAGAAAATATTTAATTGCTACTTTAGGGTTTCATGTAAATTTTGTAATGTTTTTTTAATAAAAATGGTTTGTATGTAAGTTATAATTAAACAGTTTATTAATCAAGTCAAATGTTTTATTTATAAATTCTTGTAAATAAAGTAGGTAGATGCTAACTCACAAATGTAATAAAAGCCTAAAGAATATCATAGGTCCCTAACTAATGTGTAGCTGTAGATTTTAGTATAAGTACATACTTGTATGTACTTATAATAATTATAAGTTGATATTATTAGTAATATATAAATAATATTAACTCTAATTCATTATGTATTCTATTGCCTATAATATTAACTTATAATAATTAGAAGTTAATATTATAGGCAATAAACCACATAATGAATTAGTAATATACTTAATTATATACTGCTGCAGTTCTGTAGCTAGTAATGAAGCAAAAATAGGTTTGTATGAGCTCTGTCTTTACTCTTTTCTTGTATTTTATTTAATTATAATAATTATAAGTTAATATTATAGGCAATAAAACACAATGAATTAGTAATATACTTAATTATATACTGCTGCGGTTCTGTAGTTAGTATGAAGCAAAAATAGGTTGGTATGAGCTGCTGTCTATATATACTCTTGTTATTTGGCAGTTTAAGATCATTCCCAATTTCAGTAACAATCCAGAGCACTGTTCCCTTCGAAGGGGGTAACAGTGACAAAAATCTACATCATCCCAGGTTTCTAATGGCGGATGACATTGCCTAAATATTTTTGGTCACTCATTAACACATTCTCAATAATATTATCGTCTTCTTCATCGTCTCATTAATTAAAGTATCTCAATATGTTTAAATTCATCATTAGATAGTAAAAACGTATTTATCATAGTTTGATTTCTGTGACAAACAGCTGTTACTATATAAATTACCAGCGCCTCTTTTTAACCCTCCGATACTGAGTAGTTAACTTTTTTGACTAATGGTTAGATATTTTACCATTGGATGCTCTTACCACGGATCAAAAAAGCATTTTGCTGTTTTAACTAATAGTAACGATTTTTTCCAATAGTTGAGTTAACTACGGATCAAAAACCGGCCCTTAAACACATTTATATTTCTATCATTTCATGCTTTTTAGGTAACTGTGTGTGTTTGGCAAATGCCTACTCCAAATCCTGCCATATTCACCTTCTTACTTGTCTTCATCTTTTGCGTTCATTGCACCGAGAGAGAGAGAAAGAAAGTACTACACTATCTTTCTCTCTTTCTTTTCTGTTCCTTTTGCCAGGTGCCCCGCCTATTTTCACTTAGTTGTTCTTCTTAATGATATATTCTTTATTTTATTATTTTCTTCCCTCTCATACATCGTTCCATTCTATTGTGACATAGACTAGCCTTAAAATTTTAAGGCCTACGTTAACTGTAGATGATTCGTAAAACCATGAATAATAATTTTTCAGAATATTGCTCATACAAAACGCGCCAGAAAAGGTGCCGATTAGTTTGTCACCGCCGTTGCGTAGTAAGAGACGGGAGAGGAGTGCGAGGGGGCAAGTGGTGGCCAATATTGAGCCTTTGCCCCCTCCGGCTGCGTACCACGAGGAGGATGAAAGTGGGGGCTTCGAGACTTATAGGGGTAATCCACATCGGCGGCTTTCTGCGCTTAATGAAGACCGGCTAAGGTGAGTGAAAATTGTATTAATTATTTTCCGTTAAACAATTAGTATTAAAAATTAAAGATGTTATGTGAATACTTGATTAAAACTTGTAATCTCTGTATAACGACTTTCTTATAACGAAAAACTATAACGTAACAATAATTAAATTTGTTTGGTTTAACACCAAACCCATATATTAATTCACTCTTTATAACGCAACAGCTATTCTCTATAGCGAAAAAATATTTTCCTATTTAGACATCAACAACATACTTAAGTGTAATTGTTTTTATAATCAGCTCACAAAACTAACCTTTTGAGGTGCCGAAATTTCTAAGAAAGACACAGGTCATAAACAGCTGTCTTGCCTTTAATATTGTTAATTGTATTAACACGTGTGCCATTATTCTTAGATTATATTGCCTGTCATAGCAAAATACGTCAGGCAAAGTTAACAGTATATGTGTAGAATAATTTACCTATTGATTGTTATAAATTAGAAATTATTGTAATTGTTTAAATTTGGTTATTTTTTCTCGTCCCTCCGTATATCAAAAATTCTCTATAACGAAATAAAAATGCTCGGGCCCTTTAAATTCGTTATAAACAGACTACACTGTATTTCTCTTTATATATCCTGTATTTGTGATGCAGCGTAAGTGCTGCTGGCCTAGTGACTCGTCCTTGAGGTCGAAGCTTCGATTCCCAACTGTGCACTGAGGCTGTGTAAATAGTTTAAATAATTTTGTATAAACTTGGTGTATTACTTTTGGAAAAAAATATTATTCAATAAATGATTATTTGCGTGAGACACTGTAGTTGATATAAATTTAATAACGTTTGATATAAATAATATAAGAACTGACCAATTCATATGACTAATAATGCAAAATGTAAAATTCCTTTAAAGACAAATTTGCGCGCCATTGTGGCAGAATATGCTATAATATATTACACATTTTTGTACCATATTCTTGCAATAAATTATTATTATTATTATAAAACATTTTCAATAGAAACCTTCGTATGGTATAAGTTTCCAAATATTTTTTTTTAGTACGGACAACCCCAGACTGAGAGCTGAACCGGAAGAGGTCCGGCGTTACTCGGACACTCGTCTTTCACATCCGGTTACAGTTGCCGTTGAAGAGGTTGTCGCACAACCTGCTGAGGTATATTAAAAGTTAAATCGTTAACTGCTAGTTAAAAAGAATTTGTTAACTTGATAAATTGTTGTATGTGAGTATATTAAAATTAATCTATAGCAGTGTTATCTATCTATCTATCCTCTATACCTCAGCAGGTTGTCGCACAACCGTGCTGAGGTATATTAAAAGTTAAATCGTTAACTGCTAGTTAAAAAGAATTTGTTAACTTGATAAATTGTTGTATGTGAGTATATTAAAATTAATCTATAGCAGTGTTATCTATCTATCTATCCTATCTCATTTTCACGTTAAATCTTATGAAAAAAAAATCATATATATATATCTGTTGCTTTTTCGTTTTATCGACTTTCAAACTTTAATTATTTTAGTTTTTATCAATATTAAACTTAAAAATTTAAATTGAAACAAAAAATTAATTTAAAGAAAATTGTAATACTTCATTTCGATAGTGAATACAATCTTATTCTCATTATGTTGAAACCAACATTTTTGAAGGTTCTACCACATGTTTTTTTTTGCCTTAGTACTGAACCGTTTTTAACTTTTTACTCGTATATTACATTATCAGCGAGTATGCTATATATCATGATGTTACAACCAAATCACACACCATAGTCTTATCGTATAGTGACGTCATTAAAGTTCTGTGTACATTGTGAGAAGTGTTGTCTATGGAAAGGAAACATGGATGACATTTGACATCTCTCGACTACTAGATTTAAAGATCATCTATGGTGGCCATCTCATTACAATGAGCTATCGCTCAAAATGTTTTTTTTTTAAATATTATTTGGAGAGTGATTGTCTTTGGTTATAATAATTATTTAAGTCTTTAAATATCAAAGTTCCTCGAGGTTTGACCTTTATATATTTTGAATAAATTAAATATAAACATACAAAATGGGTTAGCATTTCTTTGTTTTCGTTTTTACATAATATTAATTATGTTATAATGTCTTAACAAACACAAGTGACATATGTGCATAAATTATTTACGCTTTTAATATGGCGAATTAGTGTTAACGGTTTCTTTAATATAATAAAAGCAAAATTTTATTTCTTAATTTGAAACCTTCCCAATAAAACTTTTTACGATTTGAAAAATACCATTTTATACTATTTACTCTTATAGTAAATAAGTTGTAACAACACTAATAATTTATTTCTCTTACCAAAACAGTTACGTGAGACTAATCTGACAAAGAAACTGGGTACTAACTCGCGTAGGCCTACAATATTAGATTGTCTTCCGGCTCGCTTCATTAGAAGGTTGCTTAGGGAGGGTTCAAGTATTACGTCACGCAATTTAGGACATAATTGACCTCCCCCCGTGTAACGCGCCGTAACGTTTTTCTGTACCCAATAGTAAAACGTTTCGTGACCTCCCAGTGACTCTATATACCTAAAAGTTATCATTATCTGGTGTAAATTACTGGAAAGTCGAAAATAATATTAGCAATAACGCGTAATTCAATCCCCGCCCCGCATTGTAACGTTTTACAAAAGGACAAAATTCGTTACGTAATACTTGAACGCTCCCTTAGGAGCTTACTGATCAACTAACTTGTCGATACAAAAATGCTTTGGGCCTAATTTATTAATTCTTTACAGGGCGGCGTATACCACATCGCGGTTGACCCCCTCGAAGCTGATATACGTTCGCTTCTCGCACTCGAAGCAAAACGCGAGGCGCGCGCGGCCCGCTCGCTCCCGAATTTGCGCGCGAGTCGCGAGTCCCTCTTAAACCCTAATCACCCTTCCTGAGGTAACCTCACCCTCTACCTGGACGATAACATCTATTAGGTAAGTGCTAATTGACAGTGTTTGAACCCCCATTCGTCATTAGTCTTAGTGATCGCGAAATGGATGCGGTGAGTCCCCGAGTTCAGTGTTAGATAAGTGACTATTGAGTAAGTAATATTCGTGCTTAGTAATAAGTGTGTTATCGGAATTATGTTACTTATTTGAAAATTAATACGTAACATGTCAGCTGTCAAGTCGGTGACAGTTGAGTTTGACAGCTGACAGGTGATATGTGTATAACTTGGAAATTGCTGAATGCGGAAACGTTTAAATTGCGTTAATTAAAAAATTAAACTACGCTCGTTAAATTATGAATCATTCATATTATTTAAATTCAACACTAATTATATGAAATTAAAAATATTTAAAATGCCAAATCCTTGAATATAAATTCACAATGCTATGAGATAATATCGCAATTAAGTTATGAATTTTTTTTGTGAACCGTACCAGTAATTATAAACTTCGTCTATGTATAAAACCTTTTGTGATTTACATGACGTGTCAATTGTCAATTGAAGTTGAAGAGAGGTCAAGCTTCAAGTTGATTGACAATATTTTTTGTGCGAAAACTATGATTAAAAACAAAAACATGTGTGTTTTTTGTTTACATTACTGTGGTTTTTGCACAAGGTCATACATGTAATGTTAATCTGACCCCTATTGTGTATTATTTGTTTGTTTAGTAATACAGTCAAAATCTATTATAACGACATCGAAGGGACTACTCATATTTGGTCGTAAAAACCGATAGTCGACTTTGATTTAACAGGTATGTTGTTCTAAACGATGTCGACAGTATGTATTATCAAATTTATATGAGCTGCTTAATTGGTTGGTGTGGTGTAACTTATATCGGCTTAGTTTTTTGATATAAGTGCCATTTTTTTATCCTTGAAACTTCCAATTTGCTAAACCTTCACTGTAGTCGAGCGCTTAGTGTAAATAAATAGGTCATTTTTATGAATTTATTTCGTCTTTCATTTGACGAGCTGCGACTAACTTTTGGCTTTAAAAATACAATTTCTTATTTATATTATTTTTCTAATAAATAGGGTAAAACGAAAACCACGTAAAAAGATTTATTTAAAAGTTGACAGTCATTTTTCGTTTAAAAAACTAATTATATCGTCCCATAAAGTGTAGAACAACAGTACACAAGCACAGATAATTGACGTGTAAATGTTACAGACTAGCTTGTCAAAGTTGCCTTGTAGAACACCAGAAAATATCAATACATTTGATGCAAAACGAAAATTAATTCACCTTCAATAGCACCACCAATTCATGGATACTGAGGATGTGTTTTAGTGAAACGTCAATATTAGCCTCTCAATAATAGAATAAATACTGCAGATCATAACGAAATACTTCTTGCTCCAATCTGAAATAACTACATATATTGACGTGAAACATCTATAGCCGCACGTAAAACCGATTTCTGGTGGACGCTATATGATGGTATATATATATATATATACAGTCTATATGCAGTAGTATGTACTGTGTGTATATTTCGAAGTCACTGATTAAACGAATTAAGTAGTCACGATTTGAAATAAATTCGTAAATTTTTGTATTAAGTGAAAATAAATGTTTATTCAATAAATATTAAATATAAATATATTTGGAAAAATTTTTTAATATCTGGAAAAAAATCGTAATATTTTATTTTATCATTATGACATATTTAGTTCCTGTCACAATCTGTTCTTTTCTGCATACTTTTACAAAATAATGTCGATGTTTCACATCTGCCAGGCGTCCCGTGACGGTTTACATTTTTTTACGTGGTATTTCGTTTAACGCTTTGTTTAGGATTTTCATGTTCCTGTTACGATAGTCCGTCCTCGATTAATATTTTCTAATACTAGGTACTGTGATGCTCATAATGGTATTGCCATATTGCAAGATTCTGAAAAAAAAAAAAATTCTGCGAAAATTTTGCTATCTGTAATTTTCGTTATAATTTAATATTAAAATAAATTTTTCTTAGCTGAATAAACGCAAATGTGTATCTGCCGCATCGGGGGTACGAGGCTTCATACTAGTGTGTCTAATTAAAGACACACATATTTATCAAATACCGAATACAGACATTTGAATGGTTTTCCAATTCGGACCTTCGGAATTGCTTTTTGAACTGATTTTAGTCGGATAGGATTTGGAAGCTAAATAACTTTAATACAGCGAAACCTGGTTGATTGGGATCTCAAGGGACCAAGAATTTTGTACCATTTAAAGAGATCAAAACTTATGACTAACAAACGTAACCCAATCTGATAAATTTTCTCACCTATACATGGAATTCAGCTACAGAGTCCCAATTGCAGAACAAACACCAAGAAAATCCTGGATTCAAATTTATCCCCTGTCCCATTAACAGAGGTAATTCGATGAAAAAGTGTCGGGATCTCCTTGCAATTCTCAATAAGAGGTTTCTTACTTATCCAGGTCCCACTTAAAGAGGTTTCACTGTACATGAATGTTTATTGTATGTAGTATGGCAATATAATATTTTGAGAACTATGGTAACTATGGCTCGTCATGTTTCTTTGCCTTGTGCAGTTTATACGCTTTGACTCTAATGTAGAGTACAAATTAGATAAGTTTGAGCTATTTTCTTTAGATTGCATTTTAAATTTACAGCAGAATCTCATTTTATCAAATCATCGCTCTCTTTAACAAAAAAAACTTGCTCTCACGACTCAGTAAGTTCCGTTTTTTTTATTTTTATGTTCAGGCATATTTGTATGTTCATTATTGTTTGCGAGAGAGGTATTTGAATAAAACTCAAACGAATTTAAACGCGAATTAAAATAACATTTAGTTTTTTATGAATAAGAGCAAGGTTTTCGCTGATCATGACTGGAAATCAAGTTAAGTATTTAAATCCCGATGAAGAGTTTTATTTAAACAATTAAAAAACTTATGTTTTATGTAAATAAGTTTAACATCACATATGTATAAAGTGTAAAATATTTGTATATAATATGTATCTCAATGTACGGGCGAATATAGTATAATTCCTGGTAGATTTAGAATTGCAGTACAACTTCGGCATTTTCATTTTGCGGCCATTTTGTGTGATTGTTGTGAATGTCAATAAGATGCGTACACGTCTACGTATGCGCACGTTAGACCAACTTGTCACACACACAACTTTTTGTAACGTATTAATACACAAACGTAAGATTTAAAATATAGCTATCCTTTTCCATATCTAATCAATAAAAGAGGATATGTATGTATAGTTTTAACCCTACATTAATTTTCAGCAAGTTTATTAATACAACAAAAATAGATCAGAATCTTTGGATTCTAATCTCTACGTGGTTGTGTGTGTGAATTCGACCAAATGTTATATATGTATTAATAAGAATAATTGGAAATTTAAGAGTTAAGTATTTAACTGTTCGATTCAAACTATAGTGTGTAAGAGGATGAGAACGTAAAACTACAGACGAAACATACGCTATTCTGATTGGACAATGTAATATGACGTGTTAGGTCACGTGACTGAAGTGGATATGTTGTTGATCGAACTAGTTGTCGTGTCGTCTTTTGTTATACATTCTCCCCAATTGTATTGCATCTCCTGGAGGGGCGTGCCCAAAAGACCGCATCTCACATCATCAGGTGGGATTGTGGCCAAACGGTCCAGTTAAAAAAATAATCAAAATTCGGTACTCTGCTTTCGAAAATGTTCTTTATTAGAGAAAGTTATGCATAAGGAATGTTTCGTAAATCAGCATGTTACTAAGACACAAGAAAGAGGTTTTATATAACGCAGTGTTTCCCACTTTTGTGCCAAGTAACATACATTTATAAAATTGAATTGTTCACTTAACTTAAATGATAGGTTTTACTGGGAAATTGTTAACGAAACAGTAAAAATTCAAATTCCGAATCTTTATATATATAATTCTTCTGTGAGTGTGTATGTCACTGAACTCCTCTTAAACGGCTGGACCGATTTGAATGATTTTTTTTTGTATACGTTTGGGTGGAGCCGTGGATGGTTTAGATTCACAAAACAGATGGCAGACGGCACTGCAGTCGGTACTTTCATACTTTGCTTAATATCCTAATCGCTTTAAATATCATGCAGGACAACGTCTGTGGGGTCCACTAGTACTTTTATAAATTTTCCAATTATCAAAATGAACTTTGGGGCCCAAGTTGGGAAACACTGATATAACGCCTAGATAACAGCGCATTCGTTGAACATGTACGCATGAGGGAGCATATAATACCTGTAGATAGGATAGTTATGACATTTGGTGCTAGGGTATAAAAGCTCTTTCCGCAACTTTGGACTATAATCTATTCAAGTGCAGATTCATTTCACTCCATACATATTTTCATAATGCCATAATGTAACACTATGTCTGGAGTGTAAGGGCAATGTGTTAAGGCTGAGCTGTCAAAATTCTAAATTGAATTGAATGCCAAGTGTAAATAATTTCAGGTTTAAGTTTATTGGTTGTAACTAAATTAGTGCCTTGTTTTGATGAAATTGGTCCTATGGATTCGATTGAGCGATGCTGAGGCAAACGAGGGGATGTTTTGTCCTTGTCTTGTATAATCTATAAAAAAGAGACAACCTAGTCTCGATTGCTCAGTCAATTCGTTGTACATTTTATTCTCTTTGAAATATGGCTTTTACGCCTGTGATAATATCGTAAGCGATTTCTGTTTGCTCAAAATTTGATTTCTCCTTACGATCTGTACTTATAGTTGATGAAATTTGTAAGACTGTATTTTTTTTTATGTAAATTGTTAACTCCAGAATATAAATATAAGTTATTTTGAGATATTTGTTTTTTATTTCAATTCCAGAATCAAAATCAAAATCAAAATACGTTTATTCAATTTAGATGCTTCTTAGAGCATGCTTATGAATGTCAACAACGTTTACAAAATGGTGCTGGATCTCTGTACGACTTTAATATTGAGTTTTTTTACCCAATTTAGATGTAATTTTTCAAATGTCCATGTCGCAAATGTAAGATTACATTCAATATTAAAGTCGAAATCGTTTTTGGTGACAGCACTTATAAGTTAATAAATGAAACGCAGATTAAATAAAAATAAATAATTTAATAAAATATTTCGAAACTTATTCTCTCGACCAGAGCTCGGGTCTTCTGACTAGATAGTACACTCATAACATGTAAAATAGTCTGTACAAACAGATTTAACATTTACCTACTTACAATATAATACCTAATACTCGAGTATTAGAATAATTAATCCACCGAAAATAACATTACACACCGGAGATTGTCTCCTACATTAATTTGTTAGTCTTATAATTTCTAAATATGGCGCCCTTCCATCAGTCGATGTTAAACTAACCGACTAAAAACTCTTTGAATCATAGATTATCACAATTCTGAGGAACGCAAAATGACAATTGACTTAAAGTTGTCTATGGCTAGAATTCCGTTTCCCCGAGAACGTTGTACATGAGACGTTTGAACGCGTTCGATTGTATGATGTGCTCTTCATGTAATGAGTTCACCTGAAAAATAAGTTATTTAATTGTTTTGCTTCTTTTATTTTGCCATCGGGCAATACAAACACAGCATGCTTTATACTTCATAAATTACTAATAGAATTCTAACAAAATATAAATATGATATTTAAAAAATAAAGAAAAGGTAGCTTTGCAAAACTTGTGAGTAAGGGAGCGTTCAAGTATTACGTCACGCAATTTTTGGAGATTATTGACCCCTCCCCCCTCATGTAACGCGCCGTATCCAATAGTAAAACGTTTCCTTACCACCCATTGACTGTTTATACCTAATAGTTACCATTATGTAGTGTAATTCAATCCCCGCCCCGCATCGTAACGTTTTACAAAAGGACCCCCCCCCCAAAATTCGTTACGTAATACTTGAACGCTCCCTAAGGTACTGGAGACTTTAAAGGCTAACTTGCCTATGGGCTTAATAAAATTGGCGAACAGTTATAGAAATGTGTCTGCACCCTAAGAAGTAACTTATGCTCATAAAACAATTATAGGTACCGATTTCAAATACCTGTCTTCGTTACATAGGTACTATATATGTCTCTAATATGGAAAAACCATAGATTTTAATTAAAATAATTTATGTAAGAGTCCTAGTTATTAAATAATGTTACAAAAGTAAAAAAGTTAATCTCGATATGACTAATAGTTTCCGATAAATTTGTGGACAAACTTAAACATAATAAACACACAACTTGAAAGCCAAGTCCAACAATATCATATTCAATATTCATCTGAAGTCGGTTAAAACCACGAATCTTTAAATAAATTATTAAAAAATTTAATGCTTTAAGAAGATATATCGAGTTGCATTAATAACGTTAAGATGTACATAAACTTTGCAATGCATGAGGTCAAAACACTCAATACTTAACAATAACGGGTGTTTAAATACTTACGAAGGTCGTTTGTTTTCCCTGTGATGCCTCTTTCGAAATTTTGGGCGGCACTGGTTTCTGTGTGAAAAATATTATTATTACCAAAGTTTTATTGTTTTATGGTTAAATAGGGATACGGTTCTACGTATTTCAAATAAAAGTAATAAAAATTCTGATCTTTTAATCAATCCTTTTGTATGGTCTAGGTTTCCTAGGGTCGACTCTAAAACCTTTTTTTTTCTTTTTTAACAATTAAACACTTGAAATAATTACATATCTACGAATTCGACGAATAATTGCCCAATAAGTCACTGATGTTACTTTTACAACTTCCGGTGCTAGTTTGCAATAAGAATAACATGGAATATGTATAAATCTACAGCCTATATTAATTATTTTTACGGTGATATTCAGAATAGAGACTGTCAAAATCCAATTCTTTTTTGACGTATAGGGAGTCGGACTTAGGACTCCCACACAAAACTGCAATGCCATGCGATGCGAATTTCTGCGATACGATTTAGTGCGACGAACCGTTTGGTAGGGCGACCATTCCTTCGTAGTCAGCCGTACTGGACGTGTTTTTAGGACGCGTAAGATGGATCGCAAAAAGATAATTGCACTGCTGTTATTGTTAAATAGATATAAAAGAAAAAGAAGATTCTGGGTTCATCCATTTATTACGATTATGAACTCTGATGCAAACTTTCACAGACGCTCTTCCACGCATCTTGCTTAGTAAATTTATTTTTATAATGTTCATCACTTGTGTCCCAAAGGACAGGACGCTCCTCAATTAAAAATATTAAAAAATCCATATCATATTCCGCAATTTTTTATAAACAAAGAAGGCGGCGGAGGCGCCGCGCGTCTTTCTCTAAAGCTGTCTCAGAGCGGACTAAAATGGCGTCACCAAGGATAACGTAATATCGCAAGAATGTGCGATGCGAAGCAGATCGGAACTTCTTGCGGTGCGTTCGTGCGAATTCGCAGATATTTGCGATGCGATGCGAATACGCAGTTTTGTGTGGGAGCCCTTAGAGCTAAATGTGTCTGAATCTTCAATCTTAGGTTTAGTCTGTGCGGAAAAAGAAACGGCGTGCCAGTTATGCGAACAAATGTAGGTAATTCTTATATTTTCATACCAAGTATCAAGAAGATAAAACTATAATGACTTAAAAGTGTTGGTTACGTCAACATAATAAAAAAGAAAATTTGGCACTGAACTGATCTTAAATCCCACAAAGATTCTCATTCCATAGACAAAATAAATGCTTACGATCCGTACCTTAGTTGCTGGTGCCGTGAAGACCTTAGTCTGCGGTGTGGGCACTTCGTGCGCGTCCCCCAGACCTTGTTCCTGCAGTGCTCGGTACGTGTCCGACTTGGCCGGGTCGTAGGGCTTCGAGCTAACGCCCACAAGTTAGTTTTTAGTTGGTTAGAGGCGCAACAGAAGACTAGTTAGTCGACTAAGGAAAGGGTAATGTTGCCAGTAAAAATACAGTAGATTGTAAGTAAAGGTTTTTAGTTTGGTTCTAAAAGTTTCATATATAATCTACTGTATTTTTAGAAATAACAATAATCTACGCAACAGTGACTGGAAACACTGTATTTTATTTATAGCGATGCAATCAGAGACAACATTTATAGAGTAAGGCGAAATATTTAGGTCAATGTCAATTGTTACCGATTACATCGCTGAAGAGTAATTAAATTCGCGTTTAACGCAGTTAACATGTCGACTTGGCCGCCATGTTTGAAGGAGACAATAAATAGAAGTAAAAATAAGCATTAATGCGTCATTAGAATGGGGCGTCGACAGTTGTTTTGGCTTCGTTTCTAGTAAAACACTTGCCTCTTGACAACGTGAGGGCGGCCGTAGCCGTTAGAGCTATTGAAACAAATAACTCGATTAAAATGTTGAAATTACACTTGCAGCTGTTCGAAAATCGTTTCAGTTGGCTAGTGACTGGTTTCCAAAATTAAGTTTATTTTTCTAAATCAACTTAAAGTATATTGTTGAAATAGTCTAGCCCTATGACGGTCACATTTTTCTCTTAATCTATATGAATAAAACCACAGACACTATGGTTTTTTTTATGGCTCTGGCACGATTTGTGCATTAGCCAGCGTCAAGTATAGGATTTTTTATAATTCGTGCTTGTCTTTTAGAAATTCGACAGGGTCCTCTATGTACGCTTCAAGCACTCGCCCGGTACCGCACAACCCTCCCAAAGGCCGAGAACAAATTTAAATTATATTAAAACTTGCCCTCGAACCGGGAATCGAACCCGGTACCCCTCACCTAGTTGCCACTTAATAAGACCGCTAGGCTATGAGGCCCCCGACACTATGGTTTAATGCTTAGATACATTACAAACGTAATAATTTCTTTAATTTATCTGAGGTCTTATCAGTATAATAATACTGTCTTGTAGTCTGTGCATAAAATATCAAAAACTCTAAAACATCTCATAAATATTACGTCTAGCAATATTTATGACTGTTGAATGTTAATAAAATTTATAAGAAATTAATGTTCTCTCTAAATTAGATTACGCATAAGACCTAAACCTAGAAAGTAGACTAACCATATGAGAATGTCAGATATTTTCGTTTGGCAAATAGCCATGCTCTTGAAAATCAGTTCAAAGATGAACGTGACTTAGGTAATTATGGCCTTTGAGGAATGCGTATTATTTTTAGTTGAAGGGTGGTCACCACGTAATAGTTTAATATTCTTAGCAATATACTCACGGCAAAGGAGATGTTTGTTGTCTGATAGAATTTGCTATGTTCTGTTCTGAGTACATGTTGATTGGAGAGTTGAATTGCTTGTGAACAACCTGAAATATTACATTCACTCTTTGACACAAATCAGTTTGATCAAACATGACATTTCTAAAACCACGCAACTTGTGAACGAAATGAATAGAAAATTATGTTCGAGTATGATAGTTAATTTTAACGCACGATTATTAAATAGCATCTATAATTGCTACTTTGTATGATATAAAATGGTATATAGCAAAATTAGTTGTAAATAAGACAAGAATTGTTCGCTGTTCCTCCGAATTCCGTACTAAAAATACATGAAAAGGAACGTATTGAAAATAGGTTATCTGTGCAATTTCAGTTGACAACTTATTTTGCTACTATGTATTATTAAATGTATATCGAGAAATGAGTAATGTGAATCCTGCATGCGTTATGTTATCCACCTTATTCGCGTCTTCACCAACAACTCGCTGCAGCACCGATTCTGCCACCTGAGTTTTCCCAAAAATATTCATATATAACTATAAAATTTTGATATTTTTAAATGTGAACGTAAATTCCAGATAAAAATAAATATAATAGGATAATAGTTAAAAATTCGATGTAAAAAGAAAGTTTTTTATTGGGGTTAAACGAGCCAAGGGGTCCCCAAAAAGGGCAATCATATCAGACCATAGACACACATTTCAGTGGGTCCACGACCGATATATCTTTATATCGAATATATCTTTTCTGTATCATAGACAAGCGGAGAATATGGTTCGTTACCCGCAGTGAAACAACTTTCCTACGATTTCAAAAAGATTTCTAATCCAATTAAGTAATTTTATTTATACTTAAGGTTATTGTAAGTATATAGTGTTGTGCTTTCTACTAAGCCAAAGCTCAATGTGTGAGTGTGCTTTCGTGCGTGGACAATCTACAGAATTATTTATGTATTGCAAAATATAAAATAGCTGCCAAATCATATGTTATGTCATAAAATGTGTGTCACGTAGGATGAGGATTAAGAAATCTGAAGCCATTTTTTACTGGAAATTGTTTGGAACTTTAGTATGTTGTAAAAATGTTTCGTAGAAAAGAGTGCAGCTTAAAACTGGTTCGATTCTAGGATGTGTCCATTAAATTGCTTTATGACTTCCAAAAGCTTCTGAATGATTGTGGACAACTCCAAGGTACATTGGGTATTAGCTAGAGGTAAATAGCTGGTCTTTTCAGCAGCCTCTATGGGTAGTATTTTCTAGACAAAAGATTTGTGTAGCGTACTGATGTCTAAATGAAGTGTATCTAGTTTTTTATAAAACGGGGCGGACTTGGAGGGTCACCGGATGTTAAGTAACACCACCGCCCATAGGCACACCCTACAATCAATACCAGAAGGCTCGCGACTGCGTTGCCGGTATTTAAAGAGTTTGTCTGCTCTTTTATTGCAGGATCCTCATAGTGGTGGTGCGAGGCATCTCACGTACGTGAGAAATGTAGCGATAACTTATATAATGTCTATTTCTAGTGTACATTATCTGTGATTAGGTAAATTATTAGTTTTAAAATTCTTAAAAGGCAGGCTACGAATTTACGAGCCTTCTGCCAATGTGTGTCGATGGGCGGTGGTATCACTTGATATCAGATGAGCCTCCTGCCCTTGCCTTGACTTTGATGCTGTAAACTGACGTTCGATCCTGGTAAATCCTTGGGATTTGAGTCATATGCTGTGTCTAAGAGGACAAAACAATGTTCTACCTTCTGCCTCATGAGTGTGTCGCGGTAATCGTGGTGTGGTGGCGCCCTCATGGCTGGGTTGGGATGGTGTCGCAAATAGCTTTCTGTGGGTCCGGGTTCACGGCGGACCTTCGCGCCTGGCAATACCAGGGGCGTGGTCCTGTATGGCTGTAATTATTCAATTATAATAATTATAAAACCTTTACCTGAAAGTATTAAATATGAATAATTAAGTAATTAATTCTTAAAGTAACTTCCCAATTAGTTCTTAATTAAATAGTGACCGCTCAGCTCTGGCTTGTGCATTGTACACCAACAGTCTTATTTCTAAATATATAAGATATTATTAATTACAAAAAGAAGCAAAAAATTATAACAAAACATTAATACTCGTGAGCTTCTTGTCTGTTGTTGCATGTATTCGTTCAATAGAACATATCACGTGTACGAATGATGAGCTAAATTAATTTTAAAGATGAAGCTTTTCATATGTTTTTTGTAACAAATCAGTTTTATATACGAGAGACCGTGAAATTCCGCTGTCTAAAATATTTCTGTAAAATTAGTCAACTATGATCGTCTGTTGTTTCGTGACGAAATATTATTTATAAAACAGACACGTACTACATCGTTTCAAAAGTTTTATTAATGATTGCCAGTTCTTTTCCGTTCTACGCCCTTGATTTGAGAAGTGGCAGTAAATGTAAAATTAGAAGCATTTAATGTATTATTTCTTTTTTGACGTTCATAAGTGTACATTGTGTTACCTACATGAATAAATGATTTTTGACTTGACTAATTAAAAATAATTAATTAGCAAAGAAATTGCCGATAAAATATACCTCATTTATTAAAACCCTCTAACCTGATCATTAATGTTCACATTTTGTCTTATAAAGTACTGTGGGTCCCAATTAACACGTTTAATTCTAGAATAATCGTCTCAGACACGCATTTAGACATATCCATTAATTTCGTTTAAATCTTAAAAATAAAGTATTTGAACAAATAATACTAAACAACTGATCGTAAACATCCGCCATCTTGTCTGTCAATAGTAACGAGGTCAAATTCTGATATTTATTTAAAACCCTGTTAACGCTGAATTTCAAAATAAAATAATGAGAGCTGTATATGAATTCGTTAAGTATCTATTACCTAACACGTGAAACACTTGACAAATTGTTGCAATTTTATGTACAAAACACGAACCGAGTTTCAATCTCTGGATTTTTTGGAAAATTAAAAAAGCGATAATATTAGCTTCATACAGAAGGGAAAGCAGGTCAGAGTTCCTAAACAAGCTTTATTATATACAAATAAAATAAAAGTGAATATAACTTGTTTACATTATCAAGAGTTTATTTAGGTAATATGTCGATAGAGTGCCGCAATATATTGTATTTACAAGAATGAATGAAGCTTAGCGGATATAATTTAACACTGAGAATTGTGCCAATGTGCAAACTAAATTCGACATTTATTTCCGTTCATTTGAAATTACGAAGCACTGACGCATGGCTTACTTTAGATGCTTCATAAAACGTTATCGTGATTTTCGTGGCGCCATTTCGTTTTTGTAAGCACTAAAAAGTTTGGTTTCACAATAAGAAGTGATTATTGGAGTATCTAGAATGTGTTTCCAGGAAAAGGCTGGGTGAGACTTCTTAGATGTCCAGCCTAGAAGTACTAATTAGTAACTACACTTTTTTTTATCGGATAGGGGGGAAAACTAGCCTATGGGTACACCCAAAGAGGGTAGTCATCGCAGCCCATGGACACCTATTTTAGTGGGTGCGTTGCCAGCCTTTGAGGGAGGATTATACTATTTCTTTAAACAATTGAAAGTCGTGCCCAGGGAAAGTAACCTAAAAGGGATTGTTTATATTATGGAAGCAAGCCTAAATTTCCATTATCAAATCCAGTGTGTGTTTATTATTCCTCGGGAATCGAATAAATTTGTTAATAAACGAGGTACGGGGGCGGTAGTTATTTTATTTTATTACTTCATATAAAAGTCAGCGAAATACGTTTTTTTATAAATAACAATTCTAGAACATTCTCCGTGGCACGGGCCAATTGTGTTTTTTTATATAAATCACCATTTGGGCTACTTGGGAATGATAGCGACCTAACCTAACCTTCTATTTATTCAATCTTTACGTGTACAAATTACATAAATAATTACGTTAATATACTATATATCTAATTCTGTATCACTTTATATCCTCTTCGATTTCTTTAATCGATTGAGGGTAATGGAGTTGAAGTACAGTCCGACATTGAAACCAAAATAGAAATAACAGCTGGTGTTTACAATTTAACTAAATGATTATTGTAAAATGAAATCATATATACTTAAAATTGTATTAATCCTTTTCAACGAAATGCTTTTTTTGTTTTAATTTGTATATAAACCTGGCGCCACATTTATAAAAGGTAAACTTCGTGAGGAAACCGGCATGCTTATACCAAAAAGTTGACGGCCTATTAGATTAACAAATGATCATGAAACAGATACAGAAATCTGAGGCCCAGATCTAAAAAGGTTGTAGTGCCACTAATTCATTCATTCACATTTAACTTAATTAGTATAGATACGTTTGTGGTTTGGGATGGACAAAAATATCGTAATTACATCCGTTCAGGTTAACGCATGTTGTAAACCCCTGCAAATCAATAAAGGAATACCACCGACGAATTGGCACCGAATTGAAATAAAAAGACTAAACTGGACGTGTCAGACACCTATACCTAATTGCCAAAGTAAGAAAATAGTAAATAAAATAGCATGCATTTTGAGACTTCAAACCTCGCGCATCTTGTCTATTTCCCTCCAAGTATTTCGCGACCATAAATAATGACGATGTTATTACATCACATAATGTAACATAAGACGCAATTCGAGTGCGCCAAAATTAGTTTGAACATTCGAGATAACGAATCATACGTTAAGCTTCATGAACACGGTTATTTCGATTTACGTTATTCGACGATGATAAATATACATTTTTAATAAAATTATATACGGCCTGCGTATTTTTATTAATATTATATAAATAACTAGCTGTTCCCTACCATGCTTCGCTGTGGCACATTATGATTGTTGAGAAATGAGAAACGAAACAAAGAAAACATTTCATATAAGTTTAATTTTGCAATACTTGTGAAAAAAAAACAAAAAAACATGATAAAAACAATCCCTAATGCGGATTATGTCATGCTAAAATTTCAGCTCGATCGGTGCAGAACTTTTTGAGGTTTTGAAGCGTACATAAACTAACATAAAATTTATATATATATAAGTCACAATAATGATAGATCAGCAGTACGAATGACTGGGGAACAACGCAACACATCACCTAAACAAACTAAAAAACGAATGACAGAGACGCGGAAAAAACGATCTTGATCTTAGTAATGCTTAAAAATTAATTAAACCTTCTCAATTTCCGACAGTCACTTAGAACTAATAATTGCACATCACAACGCACCCAATTTGAGACGACTTCATCATCGGGATGTTTGGGATCCTGGTACCCATTGGGAAAGAAGTTTGGGTTGACAGCCATTGTTACGGACGTCTTGTCGGGCGTACGATCGCGAACTGCGTCTCCAGTCGTTCCCTAAACATTTTCTATGCATCTATTTTGGAAATATGACGAGAAAAACGCGTAGGCGACGTACACCCTTGATTCGTTATTTATTGCTAATTGTACAGATTTTAGACGTGAAATGGTAATGGCCTGAATTATAGTAATTCCCTGTAGCTTTGTATCCAGAATATATTTTTTTAATATAAAACGGGCAGGAGGCTCACCTGATTTAAGTGATACCGCCGCCGCCCTAAGACACATTGCCAAAAAGCTCGGAAGATGGCGGCCTTTTAAGAATTGGTTCTTGAAGGATCCTAAGTCGAATTGGTTCGGAAATACTTCAGCTGGTTCCACATAGTGGTGGCGGCAAAATCAAACAATATGACTTCTATAAACCAAATTCCTCCGCCGCTATGAACGCAATAAAAACTGTGTCCAGTTAATAGTCCAACTAGTGTAAACTTCTTTTTTCTGATTATGTAAACAATAAATAAAAGTAATTTAACAAATAAGACACAAAGTACCTGTATTAAACGTTAAAGTCGTAAAAAAATTAATATCGTTTAAATTTGTTTAAGAGAAGTACCAATGGATTTAAGCACTTGTTCGTACATTAGAGACCAGATAGACCGACTCGGAAGCCTCAAATATTATTTTTAATGTCACATTGTAGCTTCTAGAGAAGTGTTAATCTCATATACGAATTCTTCAACACTTTTCTTCAAAAATCATATGACTAAGGAAAAATACATTAAATTTTTTTTATTTAAATTTTTATTTATAAGTATAAGTATAATAAATTTTTATTTACACGGGTCAACATAAAATTGGACTTTGACTTTAAAGCAAACAATCGATATTTTAGGTCGTAATTAGACGAAAAAATATGGCATAAAAAAGTTTGTTTCGGTATTTAGAAGATTGATTGAATTATATTTTTCAAAATCTGTGGTTTTAATTTTTAATTGAAGAGGAAACCATTCAAAATAATATGTTTTTTATACATCTTATCGTTGTTTATCACTCGAGTGCCATCTAGCGGATCTATGTGAAAGTAAAACCCCCACTCTGATCGCGCGGTATTTTTGAATGTATTTTAAAAATTCAAAAATCAGTTTTTTACTGTAACTAGCACAAAAGCAAACTCGATGCTACAAAAGGTATCATCGTTTTTGTACAAAATTAACCGAAAAAAGAATTAAGGTTTAAGTGAGTGGATTTTTACTCGATTTGTTTAATATATAAATACAAAAAGCTATTATTGTGTTTATAAGACCCACTAACCAATGGCATTCATTGAATAAATCATTTATGGACTACTTATATGCAATGACGCGTCTAATATGTTATCGGCGTTTAATTAATATCACAGCATAAGAGCACTGGCAACGGTCCAGATAACGCTCTCTTTTTAGAAGTTGGGTAACCTGTTTTGCGAGGAAAACATTATGACGAAAAAAGAAAACTCGATGGCAGGTTATTAAGCTAAAAGTATGTCAGACAGAAGTTATTTTAGAATTCAAATTAATGTGTTTTTCAGACCAAATATTCAAGAGGATAAGTTTAATTTTGTTATAACTTAAGTAGGTCCAGCCTTCCGATTCTGGACGTTCACATGCTGGTTTCCTAGTGATGTTTTTCATTACTATGAAATTTTCATTTGCAAATATGAACACTGTTGCGGATGGCAAGAAGGCCAACACTTGGAACGCAATGCATTACGTCGAATTTGTACGACGGGCGAAAGGGCTTGTATCCATGGTCATGTAATAAATTAATTTAAAAAAGTAAGGAACGTATCTAAATCTTATTCATTAAAAAATCTGTAATTTGGTGATTTAAAATACTCTGTCTCATTTCATCACAGTGTAAACTAGAACTGTAGAACTTGATTTGAGAACTGGCAGTAAATGTAAAATTAGAACCAGTAATCTTTGTTCATAAGTGTACATACCTATCTATATGAATAAATGATATTTTGATTTAGATTTTGAACCACTTCCCGATATTCCATATCATTTCAGATTTACACTTAAACTCTGATAGCAAAATCCTGAAAATATACTTGATCCGTTACGAGGTTAAGCCGTTATAGGCCATACCTTGGCAATACGAATTGCCCATGAAGTGACATAGGTCTTGGCAATTGTTTTGGCAGAAATATGGAATTTAAGACTGGAAAACTATAAAGATTAGTTGCGGCAAGTGCTGCTTTAATAAAATGCGATTATTAACTTTTGGAAAGCAATTCAAAATTATTTCTTCAGCGTAAATTAATTTTCATATTTAGTGTTGTCTTGATTTATAAATGTATGTTATTTATTTTTGTCAGTTTTGTGTTTTATGGTACGATTATACGACCTTTGCCTTTTATCTGGGTGAAAATTATAATTAAAATAAGTTCGTTTTCTATTCTGAGGTAAAAGAAATACATATATAGAAATTTGCCAGTTTTGAACACCCACATGCCATGACCACATCATGTTGGTCCCGAATCCTCTATACTCTGGCCGTGTGCAACATCCCTCCCATTAAAATTAATAGTATAGCAGGCACTTGTTCCACGTAACTGGCCAGTCTTAATAGAGATTGACCGCCAGAGTTCAAAGAGTTCACAAAACATAAAAACAACATCTATGTGTGTATGTCGATAAGCAAGTTTATTTTATTTAATTCAAATAAACTCACCTGGCTTGTAATAGACTCATCAACAACATCCTCATTCCTGGCGGAGTCGGGTGATAACATGACAGTTCTGTACTCTCCCTCATGCTGCAACGAATACTGGGGCTGTAGGAGTGGTGTGCTGCGAGGAAGGGACTCTGGTCCGCGCCATGTGTTACCGGGCTTTGGGCTGGGTGTCCTAAACAAAATACTATGTTATCTCTTTATAAGAGAGACGGGATCTTCACCGTTAAGGGCTTGAAGAAGTCTTCACCATTTTGTACTGATGATATAGTGCTTCAGGCAGCTTCTAGATTACAACGACTGTTGTATACGGTTATATATTAAAAATAAATAAAACGCTACAAACTTTTTTTGGTCAGGGCCTTAGATATATGTTTCTGTTTCATGATCATTTGTCAATCTAATGGGCAATAGGTGATCACCCTCCTGTGCCTGAAATACGCCGATGACTTTTTGTGTCTAAAGCAAGCTGGTTTCTTAACGATGTTTTCCTTCACCGTTCGAGCGAATGCGATACATAATAATATATAAGCGAACCTACGACTTGAGGGATGAGAGTCGCACGCTGAAGCCACTAGCCTAACACTGCTCTAACTGAACTGAACCTAAGATGATAGGGTTATAAAAAATAATTATATTGTACTAGCTGATCCGGCGAACTTCGTACCGCCTAACAGGTAATGAATATCGTGTTACAGATTAGCTAAACTTTATTTATGATTTTATAAAAGTAATACAATATAGGAAACAAATATTAATTTCACTACTTTATTTTCTTTCATTACTAACATTATTCTAGATTTTTAAAATCTAAAATACGCCAATATAGGAATGTAGTGGACATATTTTGTTGATTCTTTAATTAAATACGTTCTTTAATTTTGAGAGATTACCGTATCGACGGAATTAAATGTTTGACATTTAGAAAAACCCATGAAAATTTTGAAAAATTCTGTATTCAGGCCCGAGACAAATACAACAAATCAAAAACCATAAAATCAGTCCAGTCAATCTCGAGTTATAAGTATTTATTAAGATTTTTACGTAAAATAGAGGACCAGATCTTGGGTGGAGGCAGCTTATGGGAATGACATTGTAACGTCTATCGAAACGAATTATTTTTCTTATGTTGCCAGATAAGTATCACTGCCAGGGTTTAGTTAGGGTCACAGCACATTCTTAATGAGTGATTATAAGTGGGTCTTGTTTCAAGGACTTACCTAAACGGTGGTGGGACAGAGTTTTGTATCGGAGAACGATGCATAGGCGCGCTTCTTGGCCCTTCCCGCTCCGAGTCCCTAAGGGAGGTACAGATTAGTATTAAGGATACAAGGGTTAAGCTCAAGTCCAATTGCCCAAGTTTATTGAAGGAACATAATGCGCTTACAAGGTCACAAGCATTTCTATATATATACGCATGCTAATTCTAATGAATTAAAAGCTCATTTATCACTCACTAACTACATAATACTTAGGGTCTGTTTCACAATGTATGGAAAAGTACCAAATAGCTATGCAACACATAAAGTATTTGGAAAATAAATTGTGCTATTTGACACTTCATCGGACTCATAACTTATGATGGACTTTATATGAGGAATAGCGCTATGTGACAGGCGTGAAACGCAACAATAGTGTTTATCCTACCAATAAGTAATAAATAGCTAATTTGGAACTTATGTAGAACTTATCCGTACATTGTGAAACAGACCCTTAATATATTTAGATATATATCATTAAGTCCTTAAGCGGACAATACCAATTTATTATTATTGAAGAAACGACTACACACACACCGTGTGTCAGACTCCATTACCGTTAAAATGTATTGCATATCTAAGTATTGTTAGATTATTTTATGACGTGCTCTACGTTCATATATTCGAGTACAAAGAAAGAAACATTAATTAAACGTACACTATATAATAAAATATAATATAATAATTTTACGGTGATGGACCATTTTTGTATTAAACATAAAAAGCTTTTGCAGACGACATCAAGTCTTACTCAAAAGTGTAATAGAAGGAAGGCGTGACTCTGCCCATGTAACTTGGTGATGGACTGTAGTACTGTGGGCTTGAACTGCTTCTGAATACATTCCTTATGTGAGCTTTTATAGGGAATTACCCGTAAAACATAAATTCTGTAAATGTCACTGAAGAAGATTGCTTGAAACAGACGCATAGATGTTCCTAGGATATTTAAAAACTCAAAAAATTGAACTTGTGCTACAAATTATAAATATTGTTTACTGAGTACGATGTAATGTAATTTAAGTGATGTTTCTTGATTTTTTATCATTTATGAGTATATTATATTACAGTGTACGAGCAACCAGGCTCCAGAAGATAAACAACTCCTTATACGGAAATTGTATTCGTTATTACAACAAACTCCCAAGCGAAATTAGAGAATTATCACTAAATAGATTCAAAGCCCTCGTTAAACGTACATTAATCAATAAAGCTTTTTATAAATTTGACGAATATTTAAATGATCCTAATCCTTGTTTAGCTCCAGTTCAAACAATTTGTATGACCCAAAACTTAACGATTAAAAAGAGTGGCGGAAAATTCCTTGCCAGTTCTTCTTGCCCGCTCTACGCCCTTGACTTGCGAACTGGTAGTAAATGTAAATTTACAATTAATTTAACTTTTTTTTTTGACGTTCAGTGTACTTCTTTTCGAGCTTGAGTTTGAGTATGAGCTCCTATTTAATGTTTTGTCCTTATCACTTTTTTACATTTTGATAGAAACGAACGAGATATAACGTGGTTCGCGAACATATCAGAGCTTTTAATCGTAACATAAGAATATAAAGTTTGATAGAGCGACATAAAGAAAATAAATAATTCTAAATAATTAACGAAACCCATTAATGTATAAATGTTATTTTTATTATTATTTGTTATTCTACAATTTTAATAATATTATGTTCGAAATAAAATTTACTTCAGTAGGGTAATAGATCTAATGAGATACTATATTATAATTAAACCCCGGGTATTCAAAATGATTTATAACAAAATTCACGAGCTATTTGAATCTAGGACATGAATAAAACCGTAATCAGTTCAAGGATTGTGTTTACACGACATCCGTTCATGAGAATTTCGTTACAAACTTTGAAGACATGTTTATAAAACTTCATTTATTTAAAATACATAATCTGTGCCTTCTATCCATAGACAACTGTCACAAAATACCGCCTATTTGACAACTAATGTCAAACAGAAATGTCTGAACTTAAAAGGTGCTGTTTTAGCCTAACTTTTTAATGGTGAATATTTAAACCCTTACAAGAATGTTTCGCGTAAAAAAAGTTTTGATTGGGTTGGTTTTAGTAACGATTTGTGTAATGTATTGAAAAAATTTAAAAAAAATCGATTATTTTTTATTCATCGATTTTTCATGCTAAAAAAACAATCGATTAATTAAAAAACCGATTTTTTATGCAGAATGTCACATCTCTAATAACCAATAGAAAAGTTGAAAATGTACGGTTTGTTTACGAATTTCAATACATTACACAAAATTATAAATTATTTTTTAAATACTTAGACGCAACTCCGGCAGCAAAAATCACGTTGAGGTGTTCCAATCAAGGTCCCCGAGACACCTACATAATCAGTATCATCAAATTCGAGCGACGTAATTCTAAATTCAACTTCTTGGTTTTTTAAAGATTACAATGGACCATATTATGATATATATAAAACAATGAGTGCTATATTAGTTTCGTACGTAAAATGGGAACTATGTAGGAAATAATATTATGGGACCTTTCAGTAATTTGACATCTCTTTCGGTCGGTAACTCATGTCTCAATATCGTGGTCAGCGCAGTAAGATCTGGCGCGTATATTTTTCCTCCACCAATTTACGTGCGATTTTACTACTGTGTATAATTTCGAGTACGACTTTGACTTGATCAGTCCATCACGTTGGCGAACTTCCACGCGATCCAGCCTTCAGTGTTGCCAATCATGATGAGCGTCGCTAGGTTCTCGTCGCCCCTACGCATTGTGTGACCAAAGTACGAAATGATGCGTTGTTGGCATATAGTTGATGTTTGAAACGTGTTTAAATATAGAGATGGGTAAGGATCGGTGCATTGGTGCGTTTAGCGGTCCACGGTATTCGTAATATCCTCCAGCATCACATTTCAAAAGAATTTGAGGTCAAAGTAATTAATAACAAAATCTAGTTTTTGATCCGCCAAAAAAAATTTACCTACTTCTTAACAATTATAATTATTCTTAACAATTACTTTTAATTTTATTTTATTTACATTTTTATTAATTTTACTATACACCTCTACACAAGACTTCATTACGTACACTGGTAACTTTTATTATTATTTCTTCTACCAAGTATTTATTACATTCCTTTTTTTTCTTTTATTGCGACTGAGGCGCAAACTAGCTGCTGTGGTCTCTGGCAGAATGACCAGCGCTGTGGAACATTCTGCTCCTCAGTATAATGCTGAGCCAGGGCCAATTACAGCCACAGCATACACGCATTACACACTTGAAACGAACCGTATGGGAAAAGGAATTTTTTTATATTTTGTTTTTTGTTTTTGATATCTCTCATTTTATTTTTTCTTTGATTATGGTTATTTTGTGTGTTTATGTGTGTGTGTTTTTGTTTGTAATAAATTTTATGTCCATAGAATTAGAAATCTTTCATCAGTGCTTTCGCCTGTATTAACGTATGTATGTGAAATAATTACCTTTGAACAACAAGTTTTATTTGATTTTTGGCGTTTTTGAAAAGGTTCTGCGCGTCTTCATGTCGTAAGTCCCTCGCATCGTAGTCATCGACCTTGGCGATTATATCACCTCTTGTTAAATCGCGGCCAGCTGGTGTGCCAGGAGTCACCTGGAATTATTATGAATTGGTCAACTATTTTTATAGGGAATAGGTGGATCACGTCTCGAACAGTTACATAATTGAGGTTATATAATATATTATATATAGCTGTGTGGGCATTTAGGTTTTTGTGACCAAAAATCTAGTAATACGATTCGGTACTGTGTATGAGGTAAAATAAAAATACAAATACACGCTGTTGATCCCAAAGTGTACCAAAGGATTTTTCTTTTTAAGTTTAAGTTATCGCGGATTAAGAATATAATTCTGATCACTTGTCTATCAAGAAAGGTTATATTATAAGCTCCACTGGGGTTACATTAATGAGTATAGGAAATATCAACAGAACCAAATGAAAAGTTCAGGAGGAGGTCAAAAGGGGACACAAAGAAACGGAAATATAACTACCGTTGACTAAGAGTATAATAACAAAACTATTTCATATGTCATTTTTAACATTATGGAATCAAAGTAGTTTTATTATTATAGGAAACTAGCTGACCCGGCAAACGTTTGTTTTGCCATGTAAATTATTTCTTGGAAACATTTTTTTAGTTCAATAATAATAACTATCTACAATTATAAAAAAATAGGGGTTGATCGTAGAGGGGTGAAAATAAGGGGTTGTCTTCAATTTTGTATGTTGTATCATACAAAATAAAAACAAAAAAAAATTGCGAAAAAATAAAACAAAAATTGGGGTGGTCATCCCTTATCACTTAAGGGTACATACTGAATATGCATTAAAATTTCATAAGAATCGGTCGAGTCATTTCGGAGGAGTAGGAACGAACATTGTGACATGAGAATTTTATATATATATATATATAAATTATATAGATATAGCAAATGATGTCGCATCTTAGTTTTACAAATAACAAATTCGTTTATATTTAAATTACTCGCTGACGCTTAACATACTAAAAATACGTGTATGAGTAATGTTATGTCATAATTTTCACCTGTAAGGTTGAAAAAACCGTAGTCCATGACATTACTAATAAAGAGCTAGGTCAAGATATTTTTTGTTATTTGTTTTACGTATTTCAGAATAGATCTAATACTAGCTGACCCGACATACGTTGTTTTGGTATATTAGTTCTAGGATTTTTATTTAGTTTAATTAAAATCTACTATAATAAAAAAAGGGTTGATCGTAGAGGGGTGAAAATTAAGGGTATTTTGTATGCTGCTTAAAAAAATAAACACAAAAAGTTTTGTCTAAAAAATAAAAATTTAGGGGTGGACCACCCTTAACATTTAGGGGGATGAAAAATATATGTTGTCCAATTCGCAGACCTAATCGATATGCACACAAAATTTCACGAAAATCGGTCAAGCCATTACGGAGGAGTTTAATTACAAACACAGGAATTAAACAGATATATGTGTTATCAAGAATGGCAGTAATTATAATTTTTGCAATATTTTTCATTATTTTGGTGAAAATAATTTAGACCATATTTTTTTAGAAATTTACTTATTAAGACATATTATGCGTTATTATTATCATTAATTACATCTTCATTAGCTTAATCAGGCTAGATCAGTGTTTCCCAACCTTTATTGTACCATGCCCCACTTCGCCTTTCTAAAATTTTTATGTAATTTAATTTTATATTTTTATATTTAAAAAAAAAATTACTAAGAAACTTAAATTATAGGTATTAGGAAGAAATTACTAGGAAACTGTTAACGAAACACAGCAGGTAAATTTTCGCAACATAACGAAAACTGAAATTCAAATACCAAATACTTTTAATATTTTTTTGAATAGCCAGCTATTAACAATAAAATCCCTCCTGTACTCTGTAATGTCCTCACTTTGGAAAACACTGGGCTATATCATAATAAATTTAAGCCTAAAGTTATTAAATGAAATGACAACATTTAGTAACAGAAAATCCATAGCAACCAATTCCGATAATTAAAAGTAACCAGTATAATTATGAAATGATGTATAAATAAATAAAAAAAAATGCTTTTCAGTAGTGCCTTATAACACAGTATTACTAACTGGTCCTGTTTATATCAGTTTATATTTGGGCATATTATGACTGTCGGCTCTAACCACAGATTAAAAATAGATAATGAAAAACGACCTAAACTGCAATAAAAACAAACAGAATTATATTCACTAGAGATGTTATGGATATGATATTTCGGATCTGGATACGGTTACGGTTATGTAATTATTTCGGATTATCCGATAGTTTCGGTTACGGTTACTAGATTGAAGTAAAATATAAACACATAGTACGTGATAATTTGGTTTATATTTAAGTTATCAGTTGGTATTATAATCAGTCATAGAGTTAAGTAATTATTATATACCTCCACAATTTTAAGTTTTATCAATTAAAATTAAAATGCAATAAATTGAAGAGTTGTAAATTATACGGATATATTTTTATTTCGGATATCCGAGTTTAGGTTACGGTTACGAAGCTTCATAACATCCCTAATGTTCACCTCCTGTTCCTTTGAGTTTTCTTTTAATTTAAACCTTAGAAAGGACTTCTAACCTTCTAATAAAATCAATAAATTCATGAAATGGGTTCAATCCATAATTGTAGTGACCTTGTTATTCGTTTGGGGAGATTTGTATGATATGCACTAAGTTGGCGAGTGGCCAAGCTAAATGCGGCCGCCTACGTTGTCGTGCCAACCGTCACTGACACTTTTATTGAAAACATCGACCTGGTAAAGGCCGACAAATTGACTGGTGATTTGTGCAAATCCATCATGACTCAATGCCGAGGACAGGTGTACTATGGAAAAGTTTCACGACGAATTATTCTTAATAAATTTAGATATGTCGAAAAAGTTTATTTTTAAATGTTTTAACTTTCTTATATTATGTATAATATGTATTCTATTATTGGATTTTTAAATGTAGTGTTAGTGTACTAATACATAGAGCAGTGTTGATTTAGTTGCTATAGCATGCGACGTAGGCTGTTCACCAATGGACTTTCTTTCTTTGTGCGCATTTAACATTCGCTCGAACGGTGAAGGAAAACATCGTGAGGAAACCGGCTTCCCTTAGATACAAAAATTCGGTGTGTGTCAGGCACAGAAGGCTGATCACCTACTTCCCAATTAGATTGACAAATGATTGTGAAACAGATACACAAATCTGAGGCCCGCTGTTTTTAAGAGTACTAATAAATCAATAAATAAATACATATTGGAAAAGTGTAGTCTACAAAACGAGAGCTTTAATAAATTCCGTATACAATAATTATGGACAATGCTATTTACTATAGTTGTTTCAATAATACAACTTTTTTAAGGCGTAGTCGTTTTCGTCTATAACCACTTCTGTAAAGTATTGAATAGTGTTATTCCGTTAAAAAGCTTTTAAATGTATGAATAAACATGTTATGAGTTTTACAATGTATCATATGTTAAAATCCAGGGTAAGTGCCGCGTTGGTAGAAGGAAAAAATCATGGCTTCGTAACGTTAGGGAGTGTACGGGTATGAGCGGGAGAATTGCTGCAATTGCTCTCCTGTGCCAGACACGCTTCACGAGACTGACGGCCAACCAGTAACGAAGACGCATACATACATACATACATTGTTCCCGTTATCAAGAAGTCACTTTTAATCTCGATATTATGCGTCTTATTGAGTAATTTTTGAGAGGATTCTATTTTCTGCATCGGTTAAGAAATCAGTCTACAGCGTTCTAGAACGATATCGCGTGCGCATGTTTTTACGTCAGCTTGTCATATAGTGAAATAATGACGCCAGTGTCACGCTATTACTAGTCAAACTAATTACTAGAAGGTCTTTCATCAAAGGCTGCACATATTTATTAATTAATTTGTATTTTTAGAATTTTTTTTAAAGAGGGGGGCAAACTGGCAGGAGGCTAACCTGATGTTGTGATATGGCCCATGGCCTCAATGCCATAGGGCTCGCGATCGTTGCCGTCCTTTTAATTTTTGAGAATTTATTTCTCATTTATCTCTCTATTTATTTCTTTAACATCTGAAAGCGTCTGATGATGGTGACGCGTTTAATAACTTATACAAATATTATAGTATATGTAATATATATCTATGACTTCTATGTACACTTCAAACTTGTTCTTGTATTGTTCTTGTTCTTGTACAAGACGTAATTTTGAATATATAATTGAATATAAACGTAAATTTTTTATATCCTATTTAAAACGACACTAAACGAAAATATAATAATTAAATTCGTGGATTTCTATACAAATAGAAAATCTTATACCGTATCTATTATATATTCGAAATTTAAATACTTATTATCAAGTACGTGACCAAACAGCGTTTGTGAAATTGTATTTATAATCCAAAGCACTATACCCAAGCAATTCGTTTATAATATCGATTAATATTAATATTGCACTTATCAATTGGCCTTCGTTCCCATATTGGTTAACCTTGGTCTATTTTTTGGTTCGCATCATACATCCTCCATCTGTTAGTCAACGCATCTTGATTCTTGACCTAATTGTTATCTAGATTAAAAATCTAGGTTCAATAAACAACAATTAACTTAATTAACACTGATATTAAATGTCGGAATAGTGTATAAATTTTTCTAAACGATGTTAATTAGCGAACAGTTACATATTGGTATTTTTTCTTGTGCCGTAAAAAGTCCAGTTTCGATTTGTTTATTAACTGAAGAATTGTAGAGCTCATTTGATTGAAATTTATACATAGTTTACGAATACTCAGTTAAAATTAAACATTACAAATTCTAAATTAAAAATATGCCTTGTTAAGGATTTAATTATTACAAAGTGATTTCCCGTCGCATCCTTTTGTTTACATGAATTGGTGATTCATGTAGAGCTTTTGGACGATGTCAGAAAAACATGCCGTCTTTCTGACATCATTCTTAACTGTCTTGCGTCATACATATATTATATCTAAAGGTAGCCAGATGGAGTGAAAAAGATGCCTTAAAGAGCAAATAAAAATGTATTAATAGTTCTTTATTAGTATATACAATGAAGATTTAAACATGCAATAAGCGCACTTTACGTACAAAACCGAAATACTAATTAAAATAATTTCGTCTTACTAGTGATAGAATACTATCATTGCTTCTAGAATATATATTACGCCATTAACGAATCAACAAAATTAAGACAAAACTTACAACGCAATACGGAAATTTATAGAAGTGAAGAGATTTTGGTCCTGTTTATAGAATACATAGAGCAGTGTTAGCTTAGTGGCTTCAGCGTGCGACTCTCACCACTGAGGTCGTAGGTTCGATCCCCAGTTGTGCACCAATTAACTTTCTATATGCGCAATTAACTTTCTATATGCGCATTTAACATTCTTTCAAACGGCGAAGGAAAATGTCGAGAGGAAACTGGCTTGCCTTAGACCCAAAAAGTTGACGGCGTGTGACAGGAGGCTGATCACCTACTTCATACTTGCCTATTGGAGTGACAAATTAAACAGATACAGAAATCTGAGGCCTAGATCTAAAAAGGTTTTTTTTATTTTTTATAGCGTACATTATTAGTACCTATTTTTTTTGCTTGAGTTCCTAGAAGAGATTACTTCTTAGTGATACTCCCTAATCATCTATATTTCAAAATTCTAAAATTCTAAAATAAAAAATCATTTAATCATATAGGTAAAACATTGTACACTTATGACTTGTCAGTAAAGAAATACATATTAATGCTTCTAATTTTACATTTAGTGCCAGTTCTCAAATCAAGGGCGTAGAACGGAAGAGAAGAACTGGCAATAAACTCTCCGCCACTCTTTTTAATCGCCATGTTTTTTTTACACAACGTTTGTAAGGAGCTGCAACCTATTACTGTTACCTATTACTGTTACCTATTACTGTGAAGTGTTCATAAATAATTGAGTAGTCGAGAAATAGTAAATTTGCGAATATTATTCTAACTGTCCCGACCTAGCATTGCTCTAAATCTAGCCTAGGAGTATAAATAAACAAGCCAGCGTTCGACATACTACTTAAAGGGTGATTCATGTTTCTGAAAACCAAATATTGCTTTCCTTTGATATTTCAAGGTTGAATATCAATACATTTTAGTGTTTTTTTCTGCATTATCATTCCATGGACACAGATGCATCTGTTACATTGACAATTATTCTGTAGTGGAAATTTTCTTTGATTCGGTCCAAGAAATGCAGACTTTCTCGCAATATTGTTTTTTCAATACGTTGAATATAAAAAAAAGCAGGAGCTCACTTGGGCTAAACTACTTTTTAACAATTAACAGTAGATAATATATTATTTATAATAATAATAATTTAATTGCAATTTATGAAACAAACATATTATGGTGGTACAATCTATACTTCGAATGTTCTGCAACACATAATGGCGTGTAATTTATAAAATAAATAGTTTTTGTTTTTCTAGAAACATCTCGAACTAATTGTTTTAATTGTATAGCGACCGCCGGAAGCTCATTGCTATTTGGGTCACGAGAATTCGGTGACAAGTATCGAACTGACCGATTTAGTTTATAATAATAAATAAATAACAACGCTTTTATCTTTAACCAAAGGTGAAATTATTAAACTTCAAAAAAATTAAAGTAATATAATAACTACGAAATTATTTTGAAATCTAATTAATATTCAATTAATTGATTGAATAAAATTTAGAGACAAGTATTTGAATATGTGCGGACCCATATTTCAGACTTCAGAAATCTAATAAGAACCTAAGAGACGGCGGGCCCCCACTCGCCTTTGAATATATAGGAATAGGAATATAAATATATACATATATATTATTTGGAAATTTCTTAACAAAATATGTCCATAAAATAAAGTCCCGCACCACAATAGTCGGAGAGTTTAAAAAATTAAAAAAAATTTACTACTTCTGTCCAGCATTTTAGGAGAAAACACAGAATGTTACCAACTCTTTGTTTACATCGATTCGTACCCGAGTAACGATGAGTGGTGTTGCCAGATCAGAGCCACCCACGAGTCGAAGACCCCAGTTCGTCTCCCGGGTCTCTCGCCTCAATGTCACAACGAATGTCTGCAGACGCCCCATGGTTAAGGGTTATGCGCGGGCGCAATCGCGCTGACCAGCGAGCACGACGGTGTAAAACGTTGTGTGGGCAAAATTAGCTCCACCACAAATCACACCCTCCCCTCCCCGCGTAACCCTCTATCGACCCAATTCGATACGGAAGTTCTTTTTCCCGTGATGCAATTCTGACAGACAATCAACAGTGATTACATCAAGTATAAATATTTAGTCTTCTGTTTTCGGGGATTTCGTAAAGGCCGCTGAACTTTTACGAAAAATTGGAAAACTTTTAAAAAAAGCAATGGATTTTCAGAATAATGTTATAAGCTTTCTACGGAAACCAAAGGTTTGTTGACTAAGACGAGCCATACACGAATATCGATTACTTATTCATTATTATTATTATTTGTTTTTATTGAAGTTTACCACATCATACATAATATGATAGTAGTACATACTAATAGTAACATATACTATGTGGTAAACAAGGTATATTTTATAAAATATATGACAATTTTGGTAAACATAAGTGTTACAAAATACTCTATAAAAATATATAGGTATAAAATAAAAATACAAAATATACTACAATTTTTTTGTTTTTAAATACCAGCTGATAAGGTATGACATAGGCACTTAACAATGCTTTCTTTTAAATGAAAATTTTAAATAATAAATAAAAAATACGCGTTTAATTATAAGAACTCATTTAAAAAAAATTCACTAATGTTTACAAATAGTTTAATTTACAGTTAAATTTTTAATTAAGAAGACATACCGTAAAAGCAACGAGTACATCTCCGACGCATTTGTCACTAAACGATTACTATTTCGGGGCGACACGAAAGTTTCTGCAGACTTAAAATACGGAAATTCCCACATCTCGAATACGTTTTGCGTCATCGATACGACTTGTTGCAGCTTGACAAAATTCAATAAGAGACGGGCTTGTACGGGAATGGATCGGCATCACATCCGCCGAGAAACTTAAGCCTAGCGCAAGATACCCGGCAATTTAGTTTGTTAACAGCCATCCTTTAGTAATAAAGTGGTGTCATGAAGGAATTATCAAGCGAATATTTTCAAAGGCTGTTTCAAAATTATATCAGCATTCTCATTTAACTAAAGCACTCTTTTGTTTCTTACTGTCAAATTGTACTTACGGGGTAATGAAAAGAGACCGATGAGTACTTTTGTTGACACAGTGCATTAAAATAGGGAAAGTAGTACTTCCTTTAGTATTTTTGACATTCATTTCCTAAGAAATATCAATCAGCATGTTATTGCGTTACGTTGATTGATGCATTAGCTGCGTTTATTGTTACGTTATAAATAGTTAATTAATCATTTTGAAGGTGGAGACGCATAATTTGGCTGGCATCATCACCTTGCTTATTTTTAGCGAGGTCTGTTATAGATATTTTCACTGTATATGGAATAAAACCAAATATTATGCTATCAATATAGCTATAGACTAAGAGAGAGTCTGGGAATCTAATTACGTACTAGGTATATATTCCCTTTTTCATAAAATAAAAAGAGAATACGTATATGGAATATGTCTTTTAAAGAGAGAAGAAATATGAAATATATTAAAATGCGTTTTAATATTAAGAATTTGGAATTATATTGCCCCGTGGCTTAAGTACGTAAGGCGGATAACCTTCGTTAGTTCCCTTCCTGAAACATTGTTTCAGGTTGGTAGGCTAAGAAGTCTGATCACTTTTCTTAAAAAGCAAGGAAACAGAAATGGATCTGTCACTTCCTCTACCAAATAGACTTTTCGTGTCAATTCATTACTGCTGTAATGTGTCCGCACTCACACGACAGTCTTTCGTACTTTTAATTAAAAACATTTTTGTCTATTAATAATAGTTATAGGTTGTAAGTAATATTTTTTTTTTTAATTAACCGCAAATTTAAACGAAACTGTCTCACACGATTAAATAAAAATAAATAAATAGATCAGTGGAACTAAAACCGTTTTAGGTCCGGGACTCAGATTTCTGTATCTGTTTTCATGATCATTTGTCAATTGTGTAATAGATCAGCTTTCTGTGCCTTCACACGCCGTCGACTTTTTGAGTCTAAGGCAAGCCGGTTCTTTCACAATGTTTTCCTTCATAGTTCGAGCGAAATTAAATGCGCACATAGAATTAAAGTGTATTGGTGCACAGCCAGGAATCGAACCTACGACCTCAGGGATGAGAGTAACACGCTGAAGCCACTAGGCCAACACTGCTCTCTCACACGCTTACCACTCGGCTAACCTTGCTCTAATAAACCGAGTCTGGTCAAAGATCAAAGAAACTCACTTTCTTCCTGGCATAGCTACTGGCATCGTCTTCAGGGTCGCGTCGCTGATGAGGCACACGCCAGAACGGAGGCCGTTGATACATAGGCATTGCTAAAAACAAATATAATTAATTGTGTGTGTGGCACAAATCAAGGAATTTAAATTCTGAGTACACTTTTGAAGTAGTCGTTATCAAAAGTTCAAACAAAATGTAAGTATACAAATCATTGATAATAAAAGTGCTTTAGATGAGGTTATACGAATAGAAATTTAATAAACATTTACAATTAAAATGCATGTATATAGTGCCTTAATAAAATGGGCAAATTGAATTAAAAACGCCGGCCATTTTAAACCTTAAACAATAATCTTTTAGACACGTGTACTCACCAGAGGGCGTGCTATCTCGTTGTAAGCCGGTCCAACAGTGTAGGCTCAATCCCGGGATCAAAACAATGTCTATTTTTCGCGTCGAACGCGTGAGACGTGTGGCGTGATTTAAAGGCGAACTGTTTCTGGGCCAAAATCGCAATTCTTTCTATCGGTTCAATGGACGGATCTAGGATAAATCAATTGGATCTGAAATACATTGTAAATATAGACGGATGTACTTTATGCCTGAAGTTAGGCACAAGTGCTGAAATGCGGAATAGTAAACAATATTTATATTTAATAGCGGCCTGTTCCGTCACGTCTAGACATTTATATTTTTAAATATTTCGGAATTAAATAGGCTACTCAGGAACAAGGTAGTACTCTAATAGTGAAAGAAATTTAAATCGGCCCTGTAGTTTTTGAGTTCGTTACAGACATACAAAATCTTTACGTTCTATGATATTAGTATCTATAGGGAAGACCGTACGAAGATTCGTGTTTAAAGTTTGCCCCTGTATTCGCCTCATATATATCATTTACGTATTAAACAATAATTACGAATAATCAATTGTAATAATACATACTGTACATTTAGTTAACCTGTTAACAAAAAGATATTAAATATAAATTTATGTTTTCAAAACGCCATTTCCAGTATTTCCTGGGCCATACCTTCCTTCCCTTAGTGTCTGTGTGATTTACCACCTAGCCATCTTCTTTTAGACCTTAAAAATACGAATATAAAAGATAAATAATGTTCGTAGCAAAGTTACCTAGGTTAGTTGTTAAGCACTTGTTCAAATTCTATCAAAAACCTGAACATTTAATTGCCGACAAAAAGTAATCATATTTTACGTTATTCTTTTCATGTAATAATCGTTATTAATTTATGTAATTAGACATCGATGAAATACCTAATTATAATGTAAAACTACTATTTTTGGGGTAATTTTTGTGGAGATTTGATGACCAGGCAAATGTATATTAATAAAAAGTAATCGCCGTTATGTATGCAAGCGTAACTTCCTACAGCACCAAATTCAATTGAATTTGTCCATTTATTTTTATAGAACAGGGAGCAAGCGGACAGGAGGCTCATCGACTCCAACTTCCAAGTCGAATTGGTTCGGAAATACTTCAGTGGGCAGCTGGTTTCACATAGTGGTAGGGTGCGGCAGAAACTGCCAACAACAACAGTGAACAACTCCTCTGAACACTATCCGTGGTAAATGAGGTACTAAAATATGTCGATTGTCGAATGGGACAGATTTTTAAAAAAATCATAAAAACTTGACAATTTAATGAACTCTGAGAGATTATTAATAAAAAATAGTAGATCCATTTATATAGTATATATATATATTTACTTCATATAATAAATAACATTTTATTGTAAGTCTGGGCTCCACATGATGAGTAGGTATAATCTCATGTCTTTGTTACTGATTGCTGTCTCGGACACTATAGATATCTTTATATGTTCGCAGAGTGAGTTCACAGCGATATTATAATAATAATAATATAGCCTTTAAATTCCGAAACTCTGTCATTTTATATATCTGAACTTTAATATATTTTCACTCCAGTATATCTCGGAGTTCGGTTTGCCTCTTGGCAAAGACCTCCTCTAATCCTTTCCACTGTTCTCTATCTTTTGCGACTCTTCTCCAGTTGTAGCCTGCTGTTAGTTTCAGTTCGTCCTCCCATCTCTTGCGTGGTCGACCTCTTCTTCGTTTTCCGTCTCTAGGGTACCATTCCGTCACAATTTTGCTCACAGCGATATTATGTATTTAATATTGTATAGATATGATAGATAGATTATGGTAGATAGAGCTGGTGATTTTCTCGCTCAACGAACAAGTATAGATCAATATAGCGAAGAAATGCTGCCAGCGTTAAAAGTACACTGCGACAGGGACTAAACTTTATAAATTTGTTTTTATAATTTTTACATATTTTTTTAATTACTGAATGAAGGTTAAGAAAATTGTAAATATTATATATAGGATAGGTCGGGAGATAGTGACATAAAATAGTGAGTCATTTGTACCAGTATGGCGGTTCTTTAGGGGTCTTATTACGAAATGAAAAAAAGAAAAATGATGGTCATAGCGCTGGTACCGGCGGCCCTGTCGCGTGGGCGTTAGTCGAACTCGTCGGATTAATTAGTGTGTCAAACGATTTGTTCCACAAAAATTCTAGTATTTTCCGATAGTCCATTAAAAAATAAGAGGCGGCAGTGTCATGCCATACTTTTCCGGTATGACTTACAGCCCGCCATACCGACGCGAATGCGTTAATTAAAAAATAATACCGCCGAAAATGAGCAATTTTTTTTTGCCAAACGAGAATATCAATTTAATTACACAACTATCGCTTTTTTTAGGGTAGATGTTATAAATAAAAAAAACACATGTTTAACAATTTAATAAACGCAACATCACAAAAAGCTTAAATTATTTGAACATTGCAGGAATCAAAATTATAATAAATATAAGCTAAATAAACGTACATTGTAGCGACACCTATACTGAACGCGCTAACTAATAATCCGACCGCTAAGGATGGAGTCAGCGGATAGACTGGTCAAGGATCCTTTAGTATGGAGGAACGCCTTTATGGAGTACCCATAAACAAAGTCCAAGCCCAAAACCAACCCCTTTTTTCCCCTCCCCCCCCCCCAAAACCCCCCTTTCCCCCCCCAAAAAAAAAAAAAAAATTTTTTTCCCCCCCCCCCCCCCCAAGGGGGGGGGGGGGGGGGGGAGGGGGAAACCCCCCCCCCCCCCCCCCCCCCCCCCCCTTTTTTTTTCCTTTTTTTTTTTTTTTTTTTTTTTTAAAAAACACCCCCCCCCCCCCCCCCCCCCCCCCCCCCCCCCCCCCCACCCCCCCCCCCCCCCCCCCCCCCCCCCCCCCCCCCCCCCCCCCCCCACACAAAAAAAAAAAAAAAAAAAAAAAAAAAAAAAACCCCCCCCCCCCACACAAACAAAAAAAAAAAAAAAAAAACCCCCCCCCCAAAAAAAAAAAAAAAAAAAAAAAAAAAAAAAAAAAAAAAAACAAAACCCCCCCCCCCCCCCCCCCCCCCCCCCCCCCCCCCCCCCCCCCCCCCCCCCCCCCCCCCCCCCCCCCCCCCCCCCCCCCCCCCCCCCCCCCCCCCCCCCCCCCCCCCCCCCCCCCCCCCCCCCCCCCCCCCCCCCCCCCCCCCCCCCCCCTTCCCCCTTTTTTTCCCCCCCCTTCCCCCCCCCCCCCCCCCCCCCCCCCCCCCCCCCCCCCCCCCCCCCCCCCCCCCCCCCCCCCCCCCCCCCCCCCCCCCCCCCCCCCCCCCCCCCCCCCCCCCCCTCCTCTCCTTTTCCCCCCCCCCCCCCCCCCCCCCCCCCCCCCCCCCCCCCCCCCCCCCTTTTTTTTTTTCTCCCCCCCCCCCCCCCCCCCCCCCCCCCCCCTCTTCTCCCCCCCTCCCCCCCCCCCCCCCCCCCCCCCCCCCCCCCCCCCCCCCCCCCCCCCCCCCCCCCCCCCCCCCCCCCCCCCCCCCCCCCCCCCCCCCCCCCCCCCCCCCCCCCCCCCCCCCCCCCCCCCCCCCCCCCCCCCCCCCCCCCCCCCCCCCCCCCCCCCCCCCCCCCCCCCCCCCCCCCCCCCCCCCCCCCCCCCCCCCCCCCCCCCCCCCCCCCCCCCCCCCCCCCCCCCCCCCCCCCCCCCCCCCCCCCCCCCCCCCCCCCCCCCCCCCCCCCCCCCCCCCCCCCCCCCCCCCCCCCCCCCCCCCCCCCCCCCCCCCCCCCCCCCCCCCCCCCCCCCCCCCCCCCCCCCCCCCCCCCCCCCCCCCCCCCCCCCCCCCCCCCCCCCCCCCCCCCCCCCCCCCCCCCCCCCCCCCCCCCCCCCCCCCCCCCCCCCCCCCCCCCCCCCCCCCCCCCCCCCCCCCCCCCCCCCCCCCCCCCCCCCCCCCCCCCCCCCCCCCCCCCCCCCCCCCCCCCCCCCCCCCCCCCCCCCCCCCCCCCCCCCCCCCCCCCCCCCCCCCCCCCCCCCCCCCCCCCCCCCCCCCCCCCCCCCCCCCCCCCCCCCCCCCCCCCCCCCCCCCCCCCCCCCCCCCCCCCCCCCCCCCCCCCCCCCCCCCCCCCCCCCCCCCCCCCCCCCCCCCCCCCCCCCCCCCCCCCCCCCCCCCCCCCCCCCCCCCCCCCCCCCCCCCCCCCCCCCCCCCCCCCCCCCCCCCCCCCCCCCCCCCCCCCCCCCCCCCCCCCCCCCCCCCCCCCCCCCCCCCCCCCCCCCCCCCCCCCCCCCCCCCCCCCCCCCCCCCCCCCCCCCCCCCCCCCCCCCCCCCCCCCCCCCCCCCCCCCCCCCCCCCCCCCCCCCCCCCCCCCCCCCTCTTTTTTTTTTTTTTTTTTTTTTTTTTTTTTTTTTTTTTTTTCTCCCCCCCCCCCCCCCCCCCCCCCCCCCCCCCCCCCCCCCCCCCCCCCCCCCCCCCCAAACCTCTTAACTGAACCGCTCTCAACTTCATACATTGTTTAAAATATTTTCATACCGATAAAATCATAATAACCAACAAAAAATTGTTTACAGCTAGTATGACTTAAAATAATAAAAGTAGTTTTAATTAAACAAATAATATCAAACAGCTGATAACTATCCGCCATCTTGTCTGTCAAAAAAGAGGTTAATAAAATTTTGACATTTGACATCAGAGAAAACGTTTCGTTTATCGATAAGTTTGATGGTATTTGGTTAATTAGCAGTATTAATATATTTAGCAACTCATTTTACGTAACCAAAGATTTGACTCGCAATTTGCGTTTCTCTTCATGAGCGTTTATCTTAAATTATTGACCAGAAATAAACATTTAATTAAAGTTCTTAAAAAACATTAATAAAAATTAAAGCTTAAAACTAACTTTAGCAGAGAGCTTATAACATTCCGATGCATGTAACATTTCATTAATTTTGTTGTGCAGATCTTGAAAAATTGTATAACATTAATTGAAAAGATCTGAAAATATAAAACGAAAGACAAAATTCCGCGTTAGTCTGTCGCTCTTATACTCTAGTTCTAACATTCGATTTGCACATCAGAATCGCTACGGTCCTTCGTCAGGGTTTTGCCCTTACCAGGCACCATCTTTCAGGTCTCAGCACCTGTGATCAGAGCGCGCCTACATTCATCGATTGGAAACAAGATGGCTGGCCAAGGATGGCCAATCACAGTTACTCGATACGATGCGTCGTTTCGTTTGACGAATTACTACAAACAAAACGTATAATTTTCTCTTTCGTTTTAGATTCTCTGTCTTTATGTAAATATACGAAATAGGTGGAGATAACAATATTCTATTAATTATACTTTTTATAAATGCATTATTATTATTTAAAACATGGCATACAGTTAAATGTTAAGTAACACTTATTTTACAACAACATATAACTTGATTTCTATATAAAATAGAAACATGGTAAAGATCAAAATTAAACTCAAACACGAATATTAAAAGGTATTTTAATATGGTGCGCACCATGTTAAAATACGACATTTGGAGCGCAAAGACCAATCCAGTATGTATGGAACATCTGTTATGACGGTACAATCAAATTTATTAAGCAATAAAAAATAGCATACATTTTTATTTCCATAATGTATTAAAAATCGAGTAATGCCGGTTTTGTGTCTCTGGCGCATTTAATGAGCGAATACATAAGTTTGACGAATCCAGTGTCCTTCGGCTTCTCCAGACCTCGGAGCAACCTGTTCTTCATCACAGCCACGAACTCTCGGTTGCTTAGTTGTCCGTCCACTGTTATTTTAGTTAGTTAGTCAGTTTAATTTCGTTGGGAACATAATAAAAAAATGCATAGCTGTTACTATGCAATTACAGATAGAATCTACATTTTTATTAAAACATCGTTGAAATAGTAACAAATATCATAAATTATGGGGATTAGGGATGCAACGAGCGGCTTTATCGCTAACAAGCGATCTCTTCCAAACCTAGTGAGGAAAAAACTTAAAAAAAGAGGAAAAATTACGGATAAAGAGCAAATCCCTAAAGGGCCCAAACTTTAATGTGTCGTGCCCCACATTACCCATTCTAAAACTCTTTTGACCCTATGTATCGCCTCACAATATTTTCTTGTACGAGCGAGTGTTAAATCTTCTAATAAAGTTTATTGGTTCCGGGGTTCGAACCTACGAACTCAAAATAAAACTTCCTAGAGGTGGAAAAAAAGACCAATTAAACTCACTATTCTCATCGAATATGGTGAAGACCACATTAATGACGTGAGGGTCCAAGTCCACGTGGGCCACGGTGTTGGCGACATGCCGGAGCGTCGGCTGGTCGATGGACGCGCCCGCTATGTGGTAGAACGTAAGTGCCGTGTCCACATCGTTGATGTTGTTTAGGAGGTGGAAAAACTTTAGGTAGTCGTCCTTTGTTATTCCGACGCCGTGGTCGCGAAATCTGTTATAATTATGTATAATACATAATGTTACACCCTAGAATGAGGGGTTCAAAGCGTGATAATTTAAGACATTACATGACTACAACAAACGATTTTGAAGTGAAACTTCTTTAGGCGCATGAGGTTAAAATTTTTACGGAACGTCATCATTATTTTATTAAGTAACTAAATTACCATTTTTTTGTTGGTTCTGTATTTTTATAAAGGCACAGAACCAAAACACTTTTTGCTAAGTTCCAGTTGGTTATTTTAGAAAATGTGGACATAAGTTAGCTATTATGATAATAATGAATCTGTTGTATTATTTGGTAATTTAATAGCTTAATTACTCAATAATTAATTTACAAAAAAGTTTCACTTCTGACATGTGTACTTTGTACGCACGTACTTTTTTAAAATATATCTCTTTTGGCTAATTCAAAGGCTATTTCGTTGACTATTTTTATAGACACCAGTTGTAACAAAATCTAGAATTATATAACTATTGAAATAATTTTGATAAATTTTCGAACTTCAAACAATTTGCACCCCTGTGGGGCGTGGGTGCATCGTTGGGAAATTTATGAAATACATTTTCGTATGTATTTGTTTTTTTTTTATTTGTCAAATTTAGTCATAAGTAAAAAAATATTAAAAAAAATATTATAAATTCTACATTTCACGAATTTCTTGAAAAAATAAATTCGTTTTAGTGAACTCTTTGAACTCAGAGTTTTGGCATTGAATTCTGAAATTCTAAAATCTGAAAATCCATTAAACAATTTACAGTTTCTTATACCTTGGATGTATTAAACATACAAAAGGATTTATCTTAAAAATAATAATAAGATATAACATTTGATAATTGTCAACTTACGCTTTTTTAACACGTTTCAGCATCCTGGCTTTCTTCTTAGCGGGATAGCCGGCATAGGCCAGCAACAGCTCCGCGAAATCTGCTTCCGTTATACGGCCGTTTTCATCTGTAAAAAAGGGTTCACCTCATGAAACTGTATGAATGTAATCAAAACAATTCTACTGAAAAGGAAGCTTTTACATCTAATATATCACAATGTTCGTACCCATACTCCACCGAAACGGCTCGACCGAATACCGAAGTTTTATGCATATTCAGTAAGTCTGTGAATCGGCTACTATCTATCTTTCAAACCCCTAAATGTTAGGGTGGTCCATCCCTCAATTATTTTTTTTTTAATTTTTTAATTTTTACTTTTTTATGATACAGCATACAAAAGTACATACAACCCTTAATTTTTACCCCTCTACAATCAATCCCTATTTTTATTATAGCAGATAGTTATTTTTATTGAACTAAAAAAAATTTGTGAACAAACATACACTTACATTGGAAGCCTATATTCAAATATACAATTCCAACAATATCCCATACAAAACAACCTTCCTTTTTGAGGTGGTTTAAAATAGTTTGTGATAGACATGAAAGTAAAAAAAAAAATACCTGGTTGCTTCCTTTGAAACTCCAAAGATAGTATTTCCTTTTGCAACTGATGTTGGAAGTCCAAAAACTTTTCAATCGTCAATTTCTCATTGAGCTTCGGTCCAAAGAAGTAGGTGGTTAATGCTGAGTTTATACCCTGAAATTTGTGATGATGGTTGCAATTTAGACTGCGAAGTTCAAATCCTAATACATATATATAAATTACGTGTCACGTTGTTTGTCCGCTATGGACTCCTAAACTACCGAACCGATTTCAATCAAATTTGTACACCGTGTGCAGTTTGATCTAACTTAAAAGATAGGATAGCTTACATCTCAATTTATACCCGCAATATTATTTTATTGCAAAATATTTGTTTATTATTTGACAGTCACAATTCTAACAGATGGCGCTGTGTTGAAAGTACCAACGTTTCACATAAGCTACAATTTAATGGCATAACCACCAAAAAAGCATGGTGGTCCCCATGACTGGTGTTCTCCTACCGTTTCCCTTGAATAGGTTACTACTATGTAATATAACGAAAACCTTAGCCACAGCAACGCTTGGCCGGTCTGCTAGGATAATATATATTGTATTCATTTTTACAACAAACTCCCATACGCAATTATAGAATTGTCACTATAAAATTCAAAGCCCTCTTTAAACGTAAATTAATCAATGAAGCTTTTTATAATTTTGACGAATATTTAAATGATCGTAATCCTTGGGATTGATTTGCTCCAGTTCAAACAATTTGTATGACTCAAAACTGAGCGATTAAAAAGAGTGGCGGAGAGTTTCTTGCCAGTTCTTCTTGCACTTGGGAACTGGTAGTACATGTAAATTAACAATTTATTTAACTTCTTTTCTGGCCTTCATAAGTGTACTTGTTTACCTTTATGAATAAAATTATTTTGAGTTTGAGTTCTAGAGCTCACCTTAAAAGTGTTGCCAGTATTTGCATGGTCGCGATGCCGTGATCCAATGCTGCTCTGCTGTCGAATGAGGGCAGCCACCTTCTCAAACTCCTCGCAGTCTACATCGCCATCACCGTTCAGATCAAACATACGAAACGCGATTTCAAAATGGCGGCGGGACGCTGAAAATTTTAATTTCATTTTTTGAAGTATTTTTTAAATACTTATGAAGTTTTAGTAATGTGGATGGCCAGCAATGAGGAAACCATGTTTAAGATTCAGCCTAGGGGCCGTTCAAGTATGGGGTCTTTGATTTTCATATTTGGTAATTACGTCAACAGTAATTATTTACTTTTTTACACATTTTGTCTATGCTTGAAAACGAAATGCATTTTCGAGGATTCCTACAAAAAATTAATTCGTTTATGCACTATTATTTTTCTCAGAACATATGTATAGATAACATAACAGAAAAAGCATTTAACAACTTGGCTTCGTCAAACGTGTATGCGAATCTTTCAAGAATATAAATTGCATAAAATGCCTGTACTTTGCCTTTACACCAGAATATACATGCACTGTTTTGCCTCAATCTACATTGAAGCAACATTCATGAAAGTTTCTTAAGTTTTTAGGATATCCGAAAGTATAGTAGCTATATATGTAGATTCCTGCAAGTACTTTAAGTATTGAATCCCTGGAAGGTACACGTAAACAATACGACCTCATGTTTTAACGCGCTATTTATTTTTATAGTACAGGGGACAAACGGGCAGGAGGCTCACCTGATGTTAAGTGATACCGCCACCCATGGACACTCTCAATGCCAGAGGGCTCGCGAGTGCGTTGCCAGCCTTTTAAGAATAGGTACGCTCTTCTCTTGAAGGCCCCTTTAGTCGAATTGGTTCGGAAATACTTCAGGGGGCAGCTGATTCCACAGTGGTAGTGCGCGGCAAAAACTGCTTTGTAAACGCTCAGTTGTGGAACGGCGGACGTCGAGGTGATACGGGTGGAATTTCCTATTCTGCCTCGACGTCCGATGATGAAACTCAGCTGCAGGTATTAATCCGAACAACTCCTCTGAACACTCTCCATGGTAAATGCGGTAGAAGATGCAGAGTGACCCCACATCTCTACGCAACGCCAAAGGATCAAGCCGCTCGGAGTGGGATTGGTCGTAGACGATTCGAACCGCTCTTCGTCAAGTGGCAGGAGCTGGTATTGGGGAGCCCACGCCTAGAGGTGAGAACAGTACCTACTCCATGTGGGTTCGAATTTGCGCTTTATATAGTTGCAAGCGGTGGCCCGGCGTGAAGTACCGTCTCGCCTTGCTGAGCACACCAAGCTTTTTGGAGGCTAATTTAGCCTTTCCCTCCAAGTGATCGCGAAACTGAACGTCGTTCTATATGTCAACGCCAAGTATTCCAATGCTGGATGTAGCTTTAAGAAGATTGTTCTACCACCGCCCATGGACACTCTCAATGCCAGATGGGGTTGGTGCGCTGCCGGCCTATTTAGAATTAATACGCTCTTTTCTTAAAGAGCCTAAGTCGAATTGGTTCCAACATTTTAATTGATTGTCCTTACTTATTATCGCTTTTACTATTTCACACCCCTTCTTCATACAATACAAGGCAAACCCAACTATTTCAAATTCCTCGGTCTAATACAAACTATTTACTTAACTCTTATATTAAAATTACTAGCAAATAGATATACGTAGTTGGTCCCAAAGTTCTGTCACTAGCACATTATTTCTACATTTCGAGCAGGATTTTATAAAAAAATTATTGCATTCTATTTTGGAATGTTTGATTATTGTTTTAAAACAAAAAACAATAACTTTCCGTAATTTTTCACGATGGAGTGGACATTGAAAGTAAACCGAATAGTTGTTATTGCGTTGCACCGCTGTGGACACTCGCCGAGTACCATTTTCAAGTTGCTCAAAAATTTGAATATAACGCTTAGGTTTGTGTACGGTACTATTGATAGGTACAATGAAGTCTCCAGTGTTGAGGACAAGAAAAGAACTGGCTGGCCACGCTCCGCAAGAACACCAGCAGTAATCAAAGCTATCAAGGCGCGGATAGTAAGAAATCCTGTCCGAAAACAGAAGTTGATGGATTTGCAGATGGGTGTCAGTAGGAAAACAGTAAAAAGGTTTTAAATGAAGATCTTGGTCTACGAGCATACAAAAAAAGAGTGGGCACTTACTTAATGCTCGTCTAAAAGCAATAAGGCTTAAGAGATCGCGGGTGTTGTTTAAGCGGTACGCGAAAAACCGACACCGTGATATCCTCTTTACGGACGAAAAATTTTTCGATATTGAAGAGAAGTACAATAAACAGAATTATACAGTGTACGCTAGGAGTTCTGAAGAAGCTGAAAATAAAGTTCCAAGGGTGCAACATGGACATCATCCATCATCAGTAATGGTTTGGTTGGGAGTGTCCTATTACGGGCTAACTGAGGTTAATTTTTTTCGAAAAGGGGTCAAAACCAGTGCTACAGTGTACCAAGAGACGGTTTTGTATCGCCTTGTCAAAGACGTGTCCAGCACCCTATTTGCGGGACATCACTCCGTGTTCCAGCAGGACTCTGCGTCTGCATACAAAGCCAAGACCACTAAAGCCTGGTTTGAGCGTCAAAACATCGTCTTAATTAGACATGAGGATTGGCCTTCCTCCAGTCCGGACCTTAATCCTTTGGACCAGAAATTATGACAGGGCTTAGAGAGGAAGGTCTGTGATAAACCTCATGAAAATTTGGAGAATCTGAAGTCATCTTTAAAAAAACCAGTGACTGAAATCGACACGAATATGGTGCGTGCTGCGATAGACGACTGGCCGCGACGCTTAAGGGCCTGTATTAAAAATGAGGGAGGTTATTTCGAATATTTTTATGCTTTTTTTATTCCTTAATTAATGTACTAAGAATTGATATATCACTCATTACAAACTGATCAGTACTTTTGTTTTTATCATTATTTCCATTTATGACAGAACTTTGGGACCGACTACGTATTTAATGTAACAAAGAATGCTTAAAAAATCCTGATATACTTTATTAGATATAATTCCTTTGTTATTCCTCTTTTATATTAAATATATTATAATGATCAATGCATCTTACAATTTATTATATATATAGGTATTTAAAAAATTGTATACGTAGGTAATAATTTTTAACTGTGTATTATGTTTATGTTTGAATGTGTATTCCTTTTTTGGCTTTTGTGTATAATGTAATTGTTTAGATATTGTATAATATGTAACTGTAGGAATACTGATACTCAAATATATATAAAATAATATATGACTTAATTAGCCCATATAAACTCAAAAATAGGCAAAAAGGGATTTAGTAATCTTTAGTTACGAGTTTTATATCTTTGTAACGCTTGCAAAAAGTAAATATACATAAATTTTGTAAACATTTCTTATATAGATATTTTTACATTTATCTTAAAATAAATGCATTAAAACCCATCCAGTAAGAACATTATATTAAATTTAAATAGAACATGTGATGCAACATGACGTGATACAGACAAAATCATTAATTTCGCTCATGCTCCGTTCGCAGCATCCCGATCCCAACAAACGCCGATCATGCGTTCGCAGAACTAACAACACAAATGTGTTTTAATATAATTTTTACAAATAAATTCCACATGACGCGACAATATGTTCTCGATAAAACGACTCCGTTCGCGGATGAATACAAAAGTGTATTATGGCTTGAGGTGTGGAGCGAAAACTTTGACCTTCCTGTTTTGGGCAACATTATACGTCGTTGTTATGAAAATGACTCTATTGAAGAGCAACACAAGCCCCCCAGTGAAGGATTCAATAATACTTGACAATTACACTAAGTGGCTTGTAAGTATTTTGCCAAATAAACAACAAACGGCTCAAATAGTTTCCAAATTTGATTTTCTCTTTGGAGTTCTTTACTCTTGGGCCGTGCTGTGCCCGTAGATAGTTCCGGTGACCCCAGAGCTGGTGCTTGCCTCGCTCAACGAATAAGTATCGCAAAACAGCGAGGAACACTGCCACAGGGACCAAACTTTTGAAATTTGTTTCAATTTTCTATTTATCAATTTTTAATTATTATTATGTAGGTTAAGAATATTGCAATGCAATGCAATTGCAATGCAACATATATGGTACATATGCATATAGAATATGAGTATGTACAATCACTCGTGTAAATATTGTTTGTTTGGCGGAAAATTACATCATTTTTTTTTAATATAAGTTTTAATGATTAGGTTTTAAAATGTTTTTTTTTAAAGTTAAAAAAAAAGCGAATTGATAAGCTTCAGTTTAAAAATACAATTATTTTAGTTACAGGGACCTGTTTTGGGTGATGACGTCGAAGGAGATACCTCCGACTGGAAAGATCCAGATAATGCGACGCTTATTGAATTAGAAAATAGATCTCTAAGGGTCCAAGAGGCTTGCCGGAAATATTCACTTCAGTCGCAGCCAATAAATAGTAAGGAATTCTTCGTGGATCACGAACATAACCTTGTATGGTGTAATATATTTAAAGCTGCAAGCTCTTCTTGGTTGTACAAGTTTAATATTTTAGGTAAGAGAATATTTTTACATAAATTTAGTCGATACTTTAGTTAGGTTCGATGGCGGTTGTTGGAGGGATTGGTTTGTTTGAAGCTGGGTGTCAACTGGCGTTATTTCGCTTAAAACATGAGCTTATAACTAACACAAAATTATGGCTTTGCGACGCTGGTGTAACGACTTGTTTAAGGGTACTTAAATCGAAGGGAAACTTTTGTCACCTTTAAAGAGTATAAGTGAAGTCGACCTAGGACATTATCGGAAACGTTATATTACAATTTATGAGTGTGAGAAAAACTAAAGGGCTCATTTTGGGTTCAAGTTGCGATTGGTTTGCGCTTCTAATTATCAACTAATACATATACAGGGTGGCCAAAAAGTCGTGGCCAAACGCAAATAGGGGATAGATGAGGTCATCAGCTGCAAAAAATTGTTCAACGGAAGGTCCCAAAGCTCAACCCCTGCAGAGTTATAATTTATTTTGCGTTTTTATAAGAAAATTGACTTTTTTTACTAATACTTATTTAAATCGAAAAAATCTACACCTGTATCTTTTTCATAATATCCACTAGATTGGTACTAATGAGTCCTGGCGTTAGACATACTATTTATAGTTGTTTATTGAGTGTATTGAAGATAATATTAAGTTATACGATATAAAAATTTATCTGATTACCTCATCTATCCCCTATTTGCGTTTGGCCACGACTTTTTGGCCACCCTGTATATGTTAGGTTACATAAATCTATCATAAACAAAAAATGTACTGTATTCGATAAATAAAAATTCATATTTATTTTTAGGTGGTTATGAAAAGAAATTTTTATCGCGTAGTCGATATACACCTCTAACATTGGCGCGACGAAAGTTTCCCAGACCGAGTGAAGACGAATTGAGGGATGCAATAAATACGCCTGGCGTAATATCCTTATTAGTAGTGCGGGAACCATTCGTGAGACTTCTATCCGCCTACAGAGACAAACTGGAGAACATCTCACCGCCATTTTATAGGAAGCTGGCTAGAACAATCGTCACAGAGCATAGAGACGCAGCGTCAAAAATTTTGGGGAACATCAAAAGTTTCGGACCAACATTCTACGAGTTTGTTGCTTATTTAATATCTAAACAGAAGTCAAAAACCATATCCTTCGACGAACATTGGGCGCCATATTATGAATTCTGCTCTCCTTGCGCTATAAACTTCACTGTCATATCTAAAGTCGAAACACTGTCAATGGACTCTTCATATGTCATCCAACAACTCGGTCTAGGACATTTATTGAGCCCGCGAGTGAAAGACAGACGCACACGACTACGCACAGTAATGAATAAATCACGGGATGGTAAAAACACTTCTGCACTACTTAGGTATTATTTCGGGCAAATTGATAAACAGATGCTCAAAGATTTATTAGACATTTACGGTATTGACTTTGATATGTTCGGTTACGATTCAGATGTTTATAATAAGTATGTAAGAAAATAAACTATATTAAATCATAATCTTTTTCTTATGAATCCCGGATCCGGCTCGAAGGACCAATAAAATTTCAGTCGTTTGAGTTGATAGAAAAAAGTATTATAACTAAATAAAATCACTAATAAATTCCGGATGGGATTCTCTTTTAGCAATAATATAGTAGGTTATTAGAGTATGGTAGAGTTATGAATCCTACAACATAATTATGCAGGTTTGTTATTGATCCCAGAGGTCGTGGGTTTAGAACCCCGGCTGTGAACCAATATACTTTCAACGCATATAACACTCGCTCGAAAGGTGAAGAAACATCGTGAGGAACCGGCCCAAAAGTTGACGCCTATATCAGGCACAGAACCCCGTTCACCTACTTGACTATTTGAAAACAAATGATCACGAAACATATACAGAAATCTGGGGCTAAGACCATGAGTTTAAGCACTGGTTTTTAAATGTGATGCTGAAATGCGTTTGATAAAGAAAACTTACTTGAAAGCACGGTCAACAGGAAAATGTAGTCACTAAACGTGATCAATCCAGAGGACCCAAGCTTGTAAAATATAGAATCTTCATCAAGGTCCAAGTTCAAACGTTGGCTTATTGTCTGTAACAGTATGAACTATGAATATCCAAAAAACAAATTGTATTAAGCCGTCAATACTACGAATTCTGCCATTCAAAAAGAGCAAACTACGTCTAATCAGATGAAAAGTAAAAAGCTTCAGTTTCACTACCTATAAGGGCTAAGTGTTGAACTAAGAAAAGCGTTAATTTAAACTCATTTTACAGTAAGGTGCATGCTACATTTTTCTAAAGGAACGTTTGACTAGAAGCTTTACAAGGGCTCGGTCCTAATTCTACGCCTATGTGGAATTGTGCGTAATTGAATAAAAGTGAGTAGAAATTGAAGAGGAGGCGATAGAACAGTACCTCACTGATGTTCTGAAAAGACAAGAAATAGGTGAGCTTAAGAGATTGCAGGTGCAATTGGAACTCGTACATCGGTTTACTGTTAACTAAAAAGTGGTTAATATTTAAGACAAAGTGTTGAGTTGAGGGTGTGGTGGTTAAATGTCAGGAACAGTGTTTACGTTCTCAAACATAAGATCGCAGGTTCAAACCCTGGATATATACAAGTATCTTTTCATCTATGCGAAGGCAAACCTGGTGTGAAACTGACAAGTCCTAGACTTAAAAATGTGTCATTAAAATAGGCCAGCATGGTTTAGGATTAAAGGCACACAGCTGATTACTTTCTTGCCTATAAAGACAATCAAATCAGTCTATAAATGTTTTTTTCGAAACAAAGAACATAGCTATTTTTTATTTTCAGTAGCTGCATCTGTTTTATACAGTTAAAATTATCTTGAATACACTTTGCTTACCTTTGGATCATATCTTCTGTATTGATCAAGGCCCAAACCTGTTAAAATATTGTATTATTTATTTAATAATGAGTTTTACAGAAAAAAGCTTGGATGTGATGTGACAAATAAAATTTACTAGGAAATACAAATTTAACACGTTGAGTAAAAATTTGTTTTGGTTACATGATACATAGAGTTGACTTGAGTTAATATATCTATTGGCTATATTATCATTATAGGTACTAAGGTGACCAACTATACTCATTTACTGAGTTTTGTACTCGTTTTTCGCAAACCATACTCTTTTCAAATCCTGTACTGTGAACAGTGAAAGTGCTAATTTGTATGTCTAAAACATTTTTAAGCTATTGCATAGATTGTATCGCGGGTTTTGAGCGCGGCGACCGAATCAAGAAATTCCGTAACGAAACAACCTTACGCGTTAGAGTGGGATAGAACGCATACTGCGCATTACCATCTCTCTGACGAGATCGGTGACGTAGTGTGAGCGGGGCCGGTGCAGCCGGTACGCGTTAGAGTGAGACAGACTATATAGGCGTTTTAGTCTGAGTCTGGTAGATTGGTAGATTGAAATAATATCAAAGAAAAACAAATACTGCATAAATAAAAAATAAATAAATTATAACTGCATAAGTTGATGAAAAATTCTATGCAATAGCTTTACCGCGGCAGTCCCTGAGTGCCACACGTTTTTTTTTAGATTATTTTAGTTGTCCAGGCACTAATGCTGCTGTTGAAAGGGTATTTTTACTAGGGAATGATTAATATTGGAGCAGTGAGAAGTCGCAACTTTCTATAAAAGCATCATCTGCCGTCTTAACAGTCAAATTTAATATCCAAAATGAAAGTTGTTCGGATGTGGCTACATTTTTAGACGAACATTCTCATTTAGCGAAAAAAATCTACTCCGAAGAAAAATATGTTTTTAAAATAACTTTTTATCGTTTTTTCTTCTTTTTTTTCACCTATGAAATACTTGCAAAGTGGAGTACGGTTTGTGAACAAAAAATAGTTGGTCACCTTAATTATACATGCCAATTGTCATTTCTTCAACATGATCAATCATTTTGCATCATAGACTCGAGGAATGAGGCTGCCCCATTCACTTGGGAAGCTCATAAGACCACATTTATTACCATCTGGTTGTTTAACTCCAGGCGTCATAGAGCGTAGAAAATCATCCGGCGTCATGAAGACCTCATGTTGATCATGATGTTGAGCTTGGAGAGTGGCAAAATAACGAAATACCTTGTCCGGAGTGGAATAGTGACGCATTCGATTCTCGTATTCAATTATCTTTTAAAGCAGCGTCCAGAAAGTAAAATTTACTAAATTAACCATAAAGATTTAATAATTTTCAATGTTGTCAACCATCTAGCCATTTTCACTTATCATGTGTTTGACACTTGAAGTACTTCACCAGTTATGATTTTTAGGACTGCTGACATATTTGCATTGTAAGATAATATAGAATAATTATTAGAATATCTGTTTCTTTTTGAAAACATAACCAAACATAGAATATAATATAGGCATAATTAAATATATATACATTTATACAAACATATAAAAACAAGCAAAAATAAAAAATACCATCAGGTTGTTTCATTCCAGGAGTTATAGCTCTCAGGAAGTCGTCAGGTGTCATATAAACTTCTGTGTTATCACCATATGTAAGTTTAACAGTTGCAAAATATCGAAATATTTTGTCAGGCGTTGAGTAGGACCTCATTCTATTTTCATATTCAATAATCTTTGAAACAAAACAAAATCATAAGAATTGAATTTGACAACAAAGGAATCTCAAGAATAAATAAAAAGCTTTTATATTTTAAAACAACAAATAATCTACTAAACAATTAGAGTTGTAACTTTAAAAAAAATTAAATTTGTTTTCATTATAATACCTTTCTGTCTCTAAAACCTATTTTCTCTTTCCTAAATCTCTTTTTCCTCGTCTCCATCTCACTTTCTGATTCACTCTCAGGCTCTGCTACTTGTTCAGCAGCTATTATTGATGGAAAAATATTATATTGTGACCTACAGAATAAAACATAACATTTTTTATAAAGCAGGCAAGCGGGTGGTGGCTCTAACAAACAAATGGACACTCAAACAGCGCAAAAAGGCTCACATTAGTAAGCCTTCAGAGATTATAAATGTTAGTGGTAATGAATAAGGAACCCAGGTTGCAGGTTCTAACATAATGCATCCAGCATATGTACACATTATAATAAGAAATGTATGTTGTAGCTACATTTTTACATCTGTGTCATACTTCAGCCATATAAAAATTTGAACTTCAGTTACTGTTGTCTAGATTGCTGGACAGTGAGACTTTTAATAGACGTCTTTTTACTAAATTTTAGGTAAAAGTAACTTACCATGTTTTATAAATTGTAAAAGTACTGACTCCAAATAATAAAGAAAATAATAATAATTTATTTTTCTTAATTTGATCTTCATGGGTATGTGTCTTACATTCAGACCTTGATGCACCAAGCCCTTGTTGATTGTAAATGTTTCTTACTAATGGAAGTATTGTTCCTCTTGATGTGTTATTGAAGGATTTCAACGCTCCTACAGGAACTTTCAAAAATATTGAATACATTTTATGAAAAAATGTTGATGGTTTTTTGTTAGTTTAATGTCTTCCCTTGTCCCTCGTATACTAAAAATAACGATATTTTCATAACATTTTTACTTAAAATTTATGTAAAGTACAACAATAATGTTTCTAATTATAAAAATATGAATTTGCGTACTATTGTTTTATTTATTTGGGACTAGACTTTAACACTTACGCACTCTGAATTTCGCCGGCGACTCGGTCGCTCGGGCGACAAAACATGGGCAACTGGGGGGGGGGGGCGGCGGCGGGGGGCGTTTTTCCCTTTTTTTTTTTTTTGAAACCTGTATGTCGAAAAGCTGCTACAGTAGCGCTAACAAATCAAAAAGAAAAAAAGTCAAAAATAGATGACAGCTTTTAACTATTTTATGGAGACTGAGAAAATATCCGTAAATTATGTCGATTTTTGATGAATATGTCTAGTTATTTACAGAGAGATTATGAATAGTGAAATAGTCATATCTTCATATTATTAACTATTTAGAATTCTGTAGTCAAAAAAGATGAGAAGTCGTTTAAATATGTCTAGTTATTTACAGAGAGATTATGAATAGTGAAATAGTCATATCTTCATATTATTAAATATTTCAGTTTTTATGAATATAGATGTAATTTTTTGTCACAACTTACTCCTTAAAATTATAATATAGTTGAAAAACCACAGTAACAACACAACCGTTAATCTTCTTGTCATTTTGATTTAGTCTGTTAATTCAGCTTTGCTTATGTCATCTGTGCCCTCGCTCTCGCTCACTCAGTCCGTCTGTGGGGGAGGAAAAGCTAGAATTTATTGGAAAAAATATGATTGAGAATTAATTTGAAGTTATTTAAAATTTACTGTGGTATTACTATTAATTAGATTATTTAAGGTAACCAAATAAATAAAAGAATCTCTCGAAAATTTAATATTCCACTTACTGATAATTTTGCCGATGTGTAAGTGTTAACATTTCATTTTATACGTAATAGAAAGGTGCGTGTTATGTAACCTTGAATCACGGGACCCTGTGTATTGATCCTGATATTTAAAGATATATTTGAGGTATGTACTAAATGTTCTATCAATCAAATGTCAATAGTTTCCCGTAATTTCTACGAGTGCAGTGTTATAGACACTTAACATCGGCGACATCATGATTAGGGTTTTATCTATGTTATCATCACCAAAATAATAATTATTACAGTTTAAATATAATGCAATCATGATAAGCCTTTAAGAATTATGGCCTATAGTGATAGAACTAGTATTCATCATCTTTAGAATAACATAACCTTGAAAATTTGTTAAATTAAATTTGGGCAAAGAGGAAAACTTAAAATTATAGAACAATTATAGATAAGCAAAAGTGTCAATTTCTAAATATTTTTAACATGATAAAATTCAGCTTAGACAATTATGCTTCATTATCAATAAAAATTATTTATAATTTTTTTTATCAATAAAAATGCAATACCATAATTATCCCTTTAATATTACTACATTCCTAGTGATTAGGTGAAATTATAAGTAAATTAATAATAACATTCTGAAAAAAAATATTTTCAATTTAAACATATGTTTCATTGAAATGTTACCAAAACTGTGTTGTATTTTTACTCTGCATATTCAATAAAAAAATTGTTTTATTATGTCCAGATATATATGGTACTAACCTAAATGTAGGCATATTTAATTTATCTTGTCAAGGTGCCAGATTCTATGACATTGTAACCAATATTTTGGCCCACTTTCGCCTATTTCTTTAATTTATCATTAATAAATCCATTTCTTTTGTAACTATATTATTATTATTATTCACTGAATTGAAAGATTTTACCTTATAGTTTACAATGTAAATGTATTAAATTTTAATCTCTTTTATTTGTTTATGCAGATTTAAGACCTAAACTACAATCACACTGTCAAAATGCATCGAGCAAGAGTAATTCTTCAAGCTTCAAGTAAAATTGGCAACTCTGAAAGATTTGCATCATGGCTTATCAAAAAACCACAGGTAATTGTACTATTATATTTTACAATATTTGTTATTATTAGCAAAATCATACAAAACAAATGTTTCCAAAAAACATCATTAAAGGCTAACAATGTTTTTAATTATGTATATATCAATCAAATAAGCTGGTTAATTCTACTAATAAATGATACAACTGTTACTCTTAGTATAATCGGAAATCATTTTTTTATATTATATTCAAAAACTATAGATTTTGTGTAAGCTTATGTGCCCATGTTCTACAAAAGGCAAAATTGAGTGTAACACAAATCTAAAGCTAAATACTAATCATTACTTTAAGAGTAATTTTTAAGATTATAAGAAATCTTTGATAACACAACTAGCCTGCTTGCTTACTGTCCTCATGACATTGTTGTTTGTGATAAGAGATATCTGATAAAAATTTAACATTGACCCATCATGCCAAATTTTAAGATGTTCAAAATATTTTCTATTCTATTTTTTTTCTGTTATTACTCGTCCCTTGTTATATAGGTGAGAAATTATCCCCTTGTTCAAAATAAAAAGTATATAAATTAAATTCTGTAGCACTTGTATGTTAACATATACTAAACATACTTTTAATAATACCAAATCTTTAATCTTAAAATTTGTTAATTTAAATAGGCTGCAGCTATGACAGTAAACGCCAACAGGCTAAAAAGTACAACTGCAGCAGAGCCTTTCCTCAATGGATCCAGTTCGGCATATGTCGAGACTATGTACAACAACTGGCTTACGGATCCTAATTCTGTACATGCTGTAAGTATTTGCATTAGTAGCATAGAAGAAATAATTATGTTTTTTGTATTGTTGCAAGACACGGATTGTGATTAAAATTTCAGTCTAGGTTTGAAGTTCTTGTTCTAGACATGTAAAAATGCGTTTCTGACTTGTAGGAAATAGATAAGAAATGTATAAAAAGTCTGCTTTTAAAAGCCTTTATTGCCGTAATTACTTATATGTATATAATCGGCAAGCCAGTTGATATTTGTAATACAGCTTGTCCTTGGACATAGGCCTCTTCTAAGGGCTTCCACCCTTCTGTGTTTCTAGCTTTACGTAGCTACATAAGACCAGCTATTCTTTGCACATCATCTTCCCATCTTTTTATTCTGCTTTTAAATAGTACTTTAAATTATGACTATTGTTTGTACAAATATGAGAAAGGTTTTTAAGACAGTGGCTCACGGTAAGATATGCGTAAGAAGATAACATTTAAATCGATATTGCGCAATGGCGCTTATTGTGTAACACTGCTGTCGCCTGAGGCACGCCTCCTATTTTTATCTACGAGTTGCGAAGTGTAACGATCATATTCAAAGGCTTTTGAAATTTGTGAAGTTCATGTTCTATAAACAATAATTTGAACTAAGTTTGTGGGACTTTGGTCCACTTTCAACGGTACAGAGATTCCATATGGATGAAATAGTAAAATTACGCAAAAAATCATTTGCCCTATTGTAGTATCTATGCCCCTTAAAGTTGTAGAACACATACTCGATACACTGCAGCATTTGCTTTGCATTTGCAAAGTTCAGAGCACCCAGAGTTCAGATTGGCCCACTAACCTCGGATTGCAGAGCCCTTGGGGTCTTACACAAGTCTTAGGTTTTTAGCATTAAATCGGTAAAGCTTTTATATAATGGACAACCATTGTTTTTAAAATATAGAACCATCTGGTACGTAACGTAATACGGAAATTAATAACAAAAAATATATTTTGTTCAGTTTTAGCTCAAGGTTAAGAAATTTTAATTTCCATTCATTTGTTTTATCAGTAATACCTTATAGAAAATTTGAAAATTTATTTCATTTTGAAATGCAAAGGAAAATCTTAAGTCTTAAAAAAATCTATCAGTGCCAGGCACATAAATCTTATCTATAAAGAAATGCGCTACGGAACAGATAGCGTTTGATGCCATGATTCATAAAAGGATTATTTTATTATAAAAACACATGTTTTCAATGTCAAAGAAGATCATGAATTGTTAATTTACAAGCAAGTTCTATCCGGCTTAATCTTGTTACAATTCAGCTTAATCTCAATACATCCTTAATTTGCTAAACGATAACACAAACTGAGCAGTCACGATAAATGAAAATAACTTAACTCCTACGAGGATTGGGCAATCATTTATAGATTATGAAATTTTACTATAAAATCGTCTAGGTCCTTATCTCTCTCTTTAGTCGGTAGCTCATATCTGAGCGTCGTGGTCAGAAAGGAAAAAGAAAAATAAAAGTAAGAGGAAAAACATTTGGAACGGATACAGTCCAGCGCCACTCATACGTCAGTGTATAGTTTTGAGGACGATAAATCTTTCACTTGATCGGTCCATCTGGTTGGTGAACGGCAACGTGATCTTTTGCCTTCTGTTTTACGAATCACGATCAGTTTCTTCAAGTTCTCATCGCCTCTGCGCATTGTATGGCCGAAATATGATATGATACGCTGTCGGCATATGACAGGCGAGTCCGTATGCGGAGGTAGGCCCTTGTGGTTAACCATAATGATTAGGACATATTCACCCCCTTATTCATGAGGTTGTAAATATCTTTCTTAATATTTATGGTTAACCATAAACTACAGGATTGAGATGCGTCTTATTATTATGATTTTATAGTCAATGTGTATGGGGGTTTGAAGTTTCTTATAATCTGACAGATGACTTCCGTATGTCAAAAATTTATTGAATTTAGGTAGTAGGGTCTCGATTTAGAATCTTTTCAGTTGAGTCTACCTAGGGCTCTCTGCTGGCACTAAAATTTATTTTGTGGGGAGGGGAGAGATGTAAAGAAATAATTATATTTCTTAGATTAGATTCTTTAGATTATAGATTATCTATTATGTGTTAACTGATGTTTCATTTAATTTGTCCGTGGAAAAGACGATAATTTTGGCTTGTAATTTAAATTTTAATTCGTAGATTTTTTTGTTAGAACATTTTGCATTATAAAAGAAATAGGATAAAAGTGATTGTTTTCAAGTAAAATAACAAACTCTAAATTTTGTTTCTTAAAATACATATTTCAGCAACACATTTGACTTTCATTAATCATATGTATATATAGAGATATGTTTTTACCGTTCATAGAACTACTAAATATTATTAAATATATTTAGATTGATCACGATTTTAGAAATAATTATATATCTCTAACGTAACATTTAATTATATAAACATATTATATCGCGTCAGGTGGATTACAGTAATATGATTGCTATCTATAGTCTACAGATTATGTTTATTGACTTCTTGATACGTCAAAATAAACACAAAATGACTGTTATTTGTATAAAGCGTGATATAAATAAACTGAAGGTCGCGTCTGCTTGATCGCGGTAAACTCAAAAATCACTAAACGCTTTTTTGTACGGCTGTCGGCTTCACCAATAGATATAGATTTCTGATGAAGTCATCCTCTTTATTTGATCCATTTCTGGACGTAGGCCTCATACATTTTCCTCCAGTACGCACTGCACTGGCTTCTCTGTATCCATTGAGAGTCAACCTCCTTGACGACGTCGTCAGTCCACCTAGTAGGTGGCTGCGCGTTCTTTTGTTCTACCGAGGTCTCGATTCAAGGAGACCGCGGGTCCATGCGTGCTATGTGGCCTGCCCACTGCCACTTAAATGTTGCGACAGCCCTTATTGCGTCGCTCATGCCGGTCTTTTCACGAATGGCCTCGTTTCGTACGCCATCGCGAAGAGAGATGACAAGTATAGGACACTATCACCCGCCGTGCGACTCTCACGCTGGCCATAGTCGGTCTCGGCTGCAACATGCGGTCCGTCTATGGCCAGCGTTTCTTTCCGCCGTGTGTTGTGTGAGCGTTTTGGTTACGGCTTCATAAGTAAGGACAGGCATGATGCAGGAGGAGGGGAAGTATGAGTATGAGACGATTATTGTTGATTATGTCGCAAGAAATCTCCACGCGGGCGTGCGTAGCTAGTATATGTAATGTGAAAGGTTATCAATTTATAGGGATAAAAGTTCACACGCCTTATCATCACCGATGAGGGCTTTCCTATGTCTAGGCGTCTAATGTGACCTTTGGACTTGTTTTATCGAAATATCGTTGCGTCGTGTAGTACGTCGTGTTATGTCTAGTTGCTGCTATCCATGTAAAATGCATCATAAAGCCGCTATCTAGTAATAAAGTCGTCAGAAATGTATGCAGTTTAGTGATATTGTTTAATTTGTTTATCTTTTACATATATGTAATGTTTTATTTAAATATATATTAACCACGGTATAGTATCTAGCCACAGGGATGTCCGTGTGGGGACTAGCGTCTGTATGATCTCATACAATTTTGAATATTTTGTTTTACTCTGGGTTGAATTTGATGAAAAAAGAGAGTATAGACAAATAAAATTAGGTTTATATCTAAAATTCCGTAGGTACTTAAAGTAATTATAGAGTCAAAACTGTTGACGACGACATCGTTTAGATCAACATACTTGTTATATTGACCAAATGCAAAGGTCCCGGCTGAATTCTATGTATTAGGTACTTAATAACAACGTCATCGGCTGTTACAACTATCGGTTTTTACGACCAAATATGAGTAGTCCATTCGATGTCGTTATAACAGATTTTGACTGTATTTATAAACCTACATTTATTTTTATTAATGGTTATATAATTATTGTCAATTTAAACACTAGTCATGGGACGCATTCTTCCGCAACGCGACAAATGGCGCCCAACCGGGCGTCGCCTATACACCGCCGCCAAACCTCGCGCCTTATACGAAAAACGAAGTGCCTCTGACGTCGCTTGTTCCAGCTGCCGGTGGAATGCCTTCTATTGCTTCCGGTAAGATACAGACAATTTCATTTTACTATTCAGTGTATTATATGAAACATTAACATAGTACAGTCGAACTTGAGTAAATGACAACTGGGTAAGCGAGAAAACTATGAGAGTATTTATTTATTGAAGTTTACGACATTATACATACTAAATCTACGGTGTATGTTACAAACTCTTTTATCTAAAATGTATGACAATTTAGTTTAACATAAATGTTACAAAATTTATGTTATTATTGATTTTTGTTATTGATCCTTCTGTTCTTATTAGCGCGAAATTTTGACTGCCCGGATTCGAACTCTTATAAGGTTATAAGGTAAGTGGACAATAAAATAGATCGAAAAATGAGACCTATTCTGTAAAGACGAGCAGTTGGCTTGAGCTCGACTCTCATCCCTGAAGTCCTAGAAACGATGCCTGGCTGTGCACCAATGGGCTTTCTATTTCTATCTAATGCGGCGTAAAACAGTACAATTAAAATAATTAAATAAAAAGGTGGAGCAGAGTAGAGCAGTGTTGGCCTAGTGGCTTTAGCGTGTGACTCTCATACCCGAGGTCGTAGGTTCGATCCCCGGCTGTGCGCCAATTGACTTTCTTTCTATGTGCGCATTTAACATTGGCTGGAACGGTGAAGGAAAACATCGTGAGGAAACCGACATGTCTTAGACCCAAAAAGTCGACGGCGTGTGTCAGGCAATGGAATCTGATCAACTTGCATATTAGATTTAAAAATTATCATGGAACAGATTCATAAATCTGAGGCCAAGACCTAAAGGTTGTAGCGCCACTGATTTTTTTTTTAATAAAAAGGAGGGCAACTCGCGGCCCTTATCGCTTTCGAGCGATCTTTACCAGGCGGTTGCCTGGTGAGAGAAAAAATAAATTAGACAAGAAGTCAAGTTACAAATGTCAAGCATTGTATTTTGTTTTAGGATCCCCCATCAACGAAAAGATCATTGATGACCATTTAGCAGTTCAAGCCATCATTAGAAGTTACCAGGTGAAAAATGTTTTTTTATTGTGTTTATTATAATTTGCATACCTTACCTTTTTAGCGTTATACAAGTCTTTATAACGAAAAGAAATTGCTTTAATTCAAAACAATAGTGTTTTGAGACTAAAATCTACGTATATTATTGATGACACAATTTTCAAATTACGACACAAATTAGCCAATAATACTAAGCTTTAATTTATCTTTAAATTGTCTAAAACTGTACATTATGAATAAATAAATACATTTAAAAGTTTGCTCCCTGTGACACAGTTTTTTTTTAATAGAACGGGGCAAACGGGCAGGAGGCTCACCTGATGTTAAGTGATTCCTCGTTGTATTGCGTTAAATATAAGCAAATTAAAATGGCATGTATAATGTAAATGACATTTTATAATTTGTTAGATCAGTTGTAATCAATAAACTGTAATATTGTCTTACGCGATTTCATTACATTAACGAATATAAACGCCAATTTATTACATTAACTAATTCGACGTTTCTAGCATCGAAACGTCGTCCGAAGTAGGTATAATAAAATATAAATAATCAGTTTTAGATAAAATGCTAATGATAATAACAAGTGAAAATTAAAAAAAAAAAAAAATCTTTTGCAATTTTTTCGTTATAAAGACTACTTTTTACAAAGCCTTTAAAACACTAAAACGTTAATACACTAGCAACAGGGGTATGTGGGTTCTGTAGGTTTCTGGATGTAAACAAACTAATCGTCAGTGGCATAAAACGTGATATATTTATTGGCACAGAACGCCCAATTTGATTGACACGACCTATTGACGAGTGCTATTTTGAGTGAAAGTTTTGAAACTATACTGAAAAAAAATTGTTTTTGATGGTTCAGAAGCTAGCTTTCGTATTTCTAAACTTTCTCTTTTCATCACAGTATAAACGCAATAAGATAGAAAGAGACGAATGAGTATTTTAGTTCCAAGGTATAATCCAATTCGTGTGATGACTCAATTTGAATAAATAAATAAATTTGTATTATGTGAGGTCAATTACGAATTTAATTTAAACGACTTTCCATCAGATGTCAAATTAAGTAAAGTTCTATGCCTGTTAGGAGATTCGTCTAAAATAAAGTAACCTAGAACCTAGTGCGATTGTGTCATTTGGTCGTGTCATGAGAAGAGCATGATTCTTGTGATAGCAGCTATTAGTTATTATTGAAAAACTATATTTTTGTTATGGACCTAAAATTGGGCAAGGACCTGCTACTTATTGAGGTTGATATCAGATTCATAAGAACAGACGTTGTGCGTTCTACTTTTGAATTCATCTTTGTTTTTTAATGTTTTTTGTATGTCCAAATGCTACCTATATGTTAATTCAGATGTTACCCCTCTAGGGATCCATCAACTCTACCCTCCCTATAATTTAATTGACATATCACCCACCCGACCTCATAAAAGTTGTCAGAACCTTATCCAAATTTTGTGAGCCACGTCGGCATCAGAATCATGCTCAGGGCTAATATAAATGGGGGGTGACAGGCTCGCGGCCACCTGGCTGCCGATCTGGACCCGCTGGGCATCACCTCGGCAAACCTGCCCCAACTGGGCATGCGCGCGTCGAGTTCGGAGCTCATCATGAGGAAATATTTCAATTTTGGTAGGATTTGCGGTTGGAAGCAATCACTTGTATCTTACTACAATACTCAGAGAAGGCATGCGCTTATGGTACTTTAAAATGGTCCTGCAATGTAAAATCACTCATTACATATTGGTTTTAAAGGTTAAATTAATTTTTATTTGTTCTCAATACTTTAGATTTGAAGGGAAAAGAATTTGGTACTAGAATATCTTCATATAACTAATAATTCATGTCGACTTTTACATCTCCTACGTGCTTAAGCGTTTAATATTGCCTCTTTGTGTATTTTAGTATGTTGGTCGTGTCGCTTTCGTCAGTGCTGATATTATTACATACATATCGGGGTTTGTAAACTGATAAGACGTGTCCAAGAATCGTTACATCTCGATTTTCCTTGTAATTCTTTAATCTTTTTCATTCTTATACCGGTGGACCTTGAACGGTGTGGTATGAAAACAATATTTAATCAATAGTTGGATATTTTATGTCCGGCTTCTCAATAAAGAAAGATATCTTTATTTTGTACTTTGTACTTGTCAGATTTATCACCAGGTTTCATTATATCATTTCTGTCTGGAATCTTCTGTCCACATTTATTATTATTGTATAAAATTCTCAATTTTCAAGATAAATTTGGTTAATTATATAGTTAATTTTATCATTCAGTTACAAATTCCGATTTTTCTAAAAACCTTTTTATTGAGTGATTGGTTTCAATCAATATTAAGTTATTTATAAGCTTTTCACCCAACAGCTTGTAAATTGCATGTATGTGATAATATTAGCATTTTGTTGAAGCATTTCTTTTGCTGTAGCTTCGTTTTGAATGTCTACTATGTAGCGAATTTGAGACTTAGAATGTTAGGCGAATTATTTTTTGGTGGGTAGTTCAGCTATGACGGTACAAAACAACAGGGAATTATTTTGGTTGCTTAAATTGCTCATTTATGGTAATATATTCAGAATATAACTTATTGAGGTATGAAGACCAATTATTGCGATTTTTTTAGTTAAACGCCGCCATTTTGACACGCTTAAGGTTGTCAAGTTTTGCCATTAAATAATCTATGGACGTTGTTTATATCTGTGGTGTAGTCTGTGGTTAACGCTCTCTGTGTGATACACATTGGTGGTGAGCCTAATCTAATTATAAGAGTCAATTATACAATTTAATTATTTATAAACGTAAATATTTTTTCTAGATTGATACAGATTAGGCATAAAAATATTCCATGCATTTTCTCTAATTCTAGTTTCACTTTGTTTTGTACCTCATGGGGATCGGAACTAAAACCAAGACGGAAGAGACAACGCGATTTTGCACTTGAACTTGAAATCCCTGGTTTTATTTGCTTCATTTCATTATTTAAACGTAATTATTTTGACGACGACTCGTTTGTTTGTTTTGTTTCATTGGTCAGCAACGTCCAATCGCTGACGCGATCCATTTGACCAATCAAAATGCGCCAACGTTAAGAATATATGCAGGAATTTCTGTTTTTTAACAGTGCATTAACGTCGTTTTGTCTCCCACTGATAGGACCATTCGTTTCATCTTCAGTTAACTTGGTTTGTTTAACTAACTGACATGCATCCATAGACCGAACCTAAGAATTGCTAGTCTCAACGAAAACTAAATTAAAAGTTATATATTTATGCTAACTCGAAAATTTATTTTTGACTAATGGTTTCTTGGCTAAATCGGGCGAATTTAATCTGCGAAGTGATGAGTGAATAGAAGGATGATGCTAAAGATTCTATAAAGCTCTCCTCTCATATGAGCTTTTATGAAGCTGGGTTATGTTTAATACAAGTGCGCAATGTTTTTAACGAGTGAATTCCACTAGTCACGTGGTCATCTCGTCGCGCATCTTGACCCGTTGGGCATCTCCACCGGTGATCCGGTGTCAAGTGGTGATTGGCACGGCGGCCTGCGTGCCTTCGCTAACGAAGCAGTCATTAGGCAGCACGTACGATTCGGTATGACATAGCGGTTGAGGCTTGGACGGGCAAAGTTCATGAATTTATGTTTCGTTCATGTTAAAGGAGTTTTTTCTACCAATATTGTTCAAGATATGACGACAGGGCAGGAATATTGTTGGCTTGACAGGCTACTGTACTCTATACTCTGATTATTAATTTCGTAGAATTCTGACAGCTATCAATTTTTTGACATGTCAGTGATTACAAACCTTTTTAGACGGGCACATTATTCAATTTCAAAACGAGTCTAAACATCTGAGTCTATACAATATACATACATTTTATAAAGTGCGGTGCTCCATTTAAAGTGGTTTTACGGCGTGATAATTACGTCCCTTTTCATCACAAACAAGAAAAAACGCACAAGTAAATATAACATTTTATTTTTTTAGAAACGTTTACTAAACCTGGAACTGGTAGATGCCAGATAAAGAATAAAGTAATTAAAGTTAATTTGATATATTGTTTGTGATATTGAAATATTTGTTATTTTTGTTTTAGGTCACTTGAGTAAGTAAATATTCAGATTTATCTTTTTGTAGGTAAAACATAAAATATACGTGGCATTATTTTTCTATTGCCCTCAAAGAAGTCAAATTTCTCCCCTTTTCGGCGGAGAACTTTTTAGTAGCAACACTTATAAAATGTCAGAATTATGTTTAGTCTTAAATACTTGACGGCGCGGCGTGACCATGTGACCATATTCGTATATCCATCGTCGCAGAGTATTTTCACAATCTCTTTAGGCACAGTAGTTTGTATAGTCAATAAAGTCTATGCCCTGTTTATGTAATCTTTAACAAGATTATCCGTCAATTTTTTATCTTTTGCAAATTCATTTCCGAAAGCTGTTATCTTATGACGCAGAGGCAATAGATTATTGTCACGATAACAACGAATTCCGGATTGTTCTGAAAGTAATGATAACGATAACCGAATCTAATTGAATGATCTGGACTAACTTGTTGACATTATTTTGTTATACCTATTAAATTAGTTGTGTTTAAAAACTTTTGCTTGTCAAATCGCGAACTTCATGGACTTTGATTGTTTATGCTTCAATTCGCACGTTTAATGGGGTTATGGAGATAAGCTTTGCAGTAGATAGTTGCTTCTTATTATATTTTCGTATTGGTGCCGGGTTTTCTATTCGAAGTCGTGACTATGGGTGACCTTGCATGAATAGGTATTGAGATACCGCTCGGCGTATTTAAAACGTATTTGAGACTAGCTTTTTTATCGGTCTTATCATTCGAAAAACCCATATTCTGTGACTGTTATGTAGATTGTTAAATTTAAACTATACGTTGTATAATCATATTCCTTTACTTGGGGGTAGATGGTTTGTAAGGTTAAATTACCCCAGTGTATAATATTACTAAAATACATAAGGTATATCGAAGTGAATTCAAAGTGTAGTGTAAGTGCCTTTACGCGAGTATTACACAGTAAAACGTCATTAATAGATATAAACGCCAATTAATAACATTTAATGTCATTAATTCGCGTTAAAGTTTTAATTAAAATTATGTCTCTACAACTCCTTAATATCTAAGTGAGACTTAGTTAAGTGGATTTAGTTGTTTGGCGTAAAATTGTTAGCGAAATTTCTTGTGTTCGTTTGTTAGAGCGTTTGACAGGTACACAAGAAAAAGCATGTTTTTGAAAACTGCAGGCTGCACACACAAAGGCTTATATTATTTATTCCCATTCGCTTCTTATAACCTAACCAAAGGACGCAGTTTTTTTTTTACTAAACAATAACGAAAAACAGATTCGGGGCCATCATATAGCGAAATTGGATCCGTTGGAAATTGCGAACTACAATACGGCGGGAAAAAATCCACGCGAAGTGATTCACAGCAGCTACAGGTTTGGTAAGGAAACGGGGCAGATGAAACCTTGTCGGCCTAAAACGTGGACTAGAGCTGTTGTCATGGTTACCGATTTGTACACGAAAACTTTAGTCCATGTTTTACGGTCGTGGAATTTGTCGCCTTAACCTGGGCACGATACACGCATGCACGGCTAGAACGCATGGATTGCATGAATATTTATTATATGCACATGTATATAACGATAGTATAACATCGTATGTCTAAATGGAAGATTTGTGACCTTGAATGTTAAATATAGGCGCGTCGCTTCTGGATATCATCCAACATCTCAAGGTGGCGCACAAAAGTGAAAATAAAATCATTTGTATGGGAAATTGTCATTGTATTTAGGGTATTTTGTCCTGTCAAGTAGGGGTTTATTGCTATGTAGGAATTTGTCCTGATAGATGATTTGTTGAAGCTAGTAAAGGGATATGATTATTTAATGTATGCTTTTTGTGTGCTTTAATCGCATTCAATTGTTTAAATGATGTTCCTACTCTTATAAGACACTGTATTTTAGATGAAGCCGATATGGATAGGGTTTTCAAACTACCCTCGACCACCTTTATTGGCGAGAAGGAAAAAGCCCTGCCGTTGAGGTAAGGTTCATATTAATTGAGGAAGATAAGCTATAATTTATCCACCTGTCGATGGCGGCTTAGACTCCCGAAGACTGCCTGAAAATTATCAACGACAAAAATGTGTCATTTAAATGATACTATGTAATTAATTTTGTTTAATGTAATAGGCTCATCTGATGTTAAGTGATACCGCCGCCCATGGACACTCACATTGCCAGAAGGTTTGCAAGTGCGTTGCCGGCCTTTCAAGAATACATACATACAAACATACCTGGACCAGATCCAGGAGGTACTAGAGAAGGCCCGAGTTAAAAGTACCCAAAACCGACGGGCGTGCTTGGTGAATGTCATGATGAAGAGAGAGAAGTGTGTCAGAACCGTAGCAAGTGGAGATTCGTAGCCTCTGCCTACCCATTCGGGAAAAAGGCGTGAATATATAAATAAATACAGTTAAAACCTGTTGTAACGACATCAAAGGGACTACTCATATTTGGTCGTGAAAACCAACCGATGACGGTATTATTAAGTAGTTAGTCTGATTTTTCATTCCGTAGAATTCTGACATTTCATTAGTGTTGCTACAAACAAAGTTCTCCCCAGAAAAAGGGATAAAATTTGACCCATTTGAGGCAATAAAAATAAAATGCTACGTATTTTTTTATGTTTTACCTACAAAAAGATAAATCTAAATATTTACTTACTCAGGTGACCTAATACAAAAATAACAAATATTTCAATTACGCGAACAATATATCGATTTAACTTTCATTACTTTATATTATTCTTTAGCTGGCATCACTGCCTACTGATTCCAGGTTTAGTAAACCTTTAAAAAAAAATGTTATCTTTACTTGTGCGTTTTGTACTATTTGTGATGAAAAGGGACGCAATTATCACACACCGTAATACCACTTTTAATGTGAGCACCGCGCTTCATAAAATATAATGTTAGTAGATATAAATTAGTAAATTATTAATTTACTAACAAATAAAATGTATGTATAGCCTCAGATGTTCAGACTCGTATTGAAATTGAAAAATGTGCCCGGCCAAAAAGGTTTGTGAACTCTGACATGTCAAAAAATTATAGCTGTCAGAATTCTACGGAATTAAAAATCATAGAACCTTTGATTTTGGTCAATATAACCGGTAAACATAATAAAATCCTAATATTGTAGGTTATATAACGACCAATAGGGCCGTAGCAATGATTCCTTATTGAGTCAATATTTTGTGGTTTTCCATATTAAGTGATATGTTTTGGGGTTTCAGAGAAATTCTAAACCGCTTGGAAGAGGCGTATTGTAACAACATTGGTATAGAGTTTATGTTCATAAACTCGTTGGAGCAATGCAACTGGATCAGGCAGCGAATGGAGCCACCAAACGTCACCAAGATGAGCAATGATCAGAAGAGATTGATTCTGGCGCGTCTCACCAGATCTGCTGGGTAAGTAATAAAGATTTAAAAATATGCCTTCAAAATATTTATTCCTAAAGAACTGATACTCTGCTGATGACACTACACTTATTGTAAAAAGTAAAACCGAACGAGATTTGAAAAATAACTGAATTAAATCTCTAGACGACGCCATCGACTGGATGAATCAAATAATCTACAAAAAAAAATTTTTGTATATATTATGTATTCAACCTTTGGCTATATGTTTAGTATATTATACATATATAACAATCAAATTGTTATTTGTTTTATATAATAAAAGTTCGGTGTGGGATTACGAAATGAATTTATTTATTATATACATAATCTTAAATTTAAAATAAGTTGGTGTGGTGGGAACACAGATTGGTCACAGTTTTTCTGTCCACCAGGACGTCGAACATTATTTTGATAAATACATAGAACTATTGAATTAAAATCGTCGAAGAATAATGGGTTATGTACAGATATACATACATAAGATATACAAGATAAAATAGACATAGACATAAGATTTATTACTAACAAAAACACTATTGAAACTACAAGTGCTCGCCACAGGCTAAAATTTTATTAGATCATGAATCACAAAGTTTTTTTATATATAACTAGATGTCGCTAGTAGAATAAAATTACTATTTTGATACATATTTAACAAACACACATAAAATAACAATAATCAAAGAAAAAAAACAATTTTTTTTTTCCTCTTGCCATTCGGTTAGTTTCAAATGTGTAATGCGTGTGTGCTGTGGTTTTAATTGGCCCTAGCTCAGCATTATGCTGAGGAGCAGAATGTTCCATAGCGCTGGTCATTCTGCCAGAGACCACATCAGCTAGTTTGCGCCTCAGTCGCAAAAAAAAGGAATGTAAAAGCTTAGTAGAAAAATAATAATCATCAAAACTTCAGGTTTGAAAACTTCTTGGCGAAGAAGTGGTCTTCGGAAAAGCGCTTCGGTCTTGAAGGATGCGAGATCCTCATCCCGGCCATGAAGCAGGTCATCGACATGTCGACTAAACTTGGAGTCGAATCCATCATCATGGGAATGCCTCATAGGGGTAATTATATTTTTACCTTTTACAGTTTATTGATAAATCTTTTATAAAAAAGATGTGGATTTATAATAAAAAAGGTGCGTGCGTACATAGTACACGTCATGTCAGGAACTTCTTTGGCAAACTAATTTTTAAGTCTTATTCATATTTATACAAATTTAAAACTTTAGATTTCCGAGACTTAGAGGGAGGGAAAAAGAAAGATATGTTACGAATTTAATGAATTTAATTGTCATTAAAATATTTTAATTTATTTCTTCGATAATAAAAACACGTGGCATTTTAATTTGCAATTCGTCATTTGAGATTTCAATAAATTATTTTGCATAAAATATAAAATGCTATTTCATATTCTCTTTACGAAATTTTAATTTTAAAAATAGAATTTCTATAAGGTAATTCACCCTTCTCACTCTCTCAATCGGTCTCTGCCTTTTCTTCAACAAAAAAGCTGCACATCTTCGTGACGTTCCGTAAACTGTTTACCCTCATACGCCTAAAGAAGTTTTACTTCAATAAATCCATAACTTCCTTTGGTATTTTTCGCTTAATAGTGGTTTTAAAGTGAAATGCTATTTCGGTAATTTTGTCCGCAGGTCGTCTTAACGTATTGGCTAATGTTTGCCGTAAACCGCTGCATCAGCTGTTTACACAGTTTGCGGGATTGGAGGCTGAAGATGACGTAAGTTTTATAATGTTATTACAGAGCACCCTTATGATTATTTAAAAGTACAATATATCAGTACAAAAACATTTTTATTAATGATAAATCATTGCATATTAAGAATAGATTATATTCTGTAATAAAAATCATAAAATATTTGACTTTGATAGCAGAATAGGTAACTGCTTTGTAGCTGTTGTGTATGTTTTAAATGGTTTAACAATATTTCTTTAATAAATTAAATATATGGCTACGGGTAACATTAGACATTTGAAAAATTAAAAAAAAATGCTTCTAACATTTACTGTCAGTTGTCAAATCTGTCTATCTTCTTATTGTCAAATAGCTTAGCCAAATGTCAGTTGTCAAATCTGTCTATCTTTTATTGTCAAATAGCTTAGCCAAATGTCAAATATCAGTTGTCAAATCTGTCTATCTCCTTATTGTCAAATAGCTTAGCCAAATGTCAGTTGTCAAATCTGTCTATCTCGTTATGGTCAAATAGCTTAGCCAAATGTCAAATATCAGTTGACAAATCTGTCTATCTCCTTATTGTCAAATAGCTTAGCCAAATGTCAAATATCAGTTGTCAAATCTGTCTATCTCCTTATTGTCAAATAGCTTAGCCAAATGTCAAATATCAGTTGTCAAATCTGTCTATCTCCTTATTGTCAAATAGCTTAGCCAAATGTCAAATATCAGTTGTCAAATCTGTCTATCTCCTTATTGTCAAATAGCTTAGTCAAATGTCAGTTATCAAAACTGTCTATGTCCTTATTGTCAAAAAGCTTAGTCAAATGTCAGTTATCAAAACTGTCTATCTCCTTATTGTCAAAAAGCTTAGTCAAATGTCAGTTGTCAAATCTATCTATTTCCTTATTCTCAAATAGATGACTAAATTTTTATACTCTAAGTGATATACGTGACGTGAACAAGATTTTTTTTAATATGTAAATATTTGACAAATATAAATTAAATGTTGTATATGTTTAACTACATACTATATGTTCTTTTAATCTGTTGCAATACTTAATCTATTTAATACATTTCAGGGCTCCGGTGATGTCAAATACCATTTGGGTACATACATCGAGCGCCTGAACCGCGTCACCAACAAGAACATTCGTTTGGCAGTGTGCGCTAACCCTAGTCACTTGGAAGCAGTCGACCCCGTAGTGCAGGGCAAGACTCGCGCCGAGCAGTTTTACAGAGGAGACAATGAAGGCAAGAAGGTGAGTTTTTTTATAAATTTTGACAAAACTTTATATAGTTAAAAGAAAGAATCCTTCCCTCAAAGGCCGGCAACGCACCTACTAAAACGGGCAGCGATGTGAGCCCTTTTTAGGAGTTCCGTAGGCTTGCCCCCTTTTGATAATTTGTAAACTTTATACGTAATAAACAATCGAAAAGGCGACTTCAATAAAGAGAAAAAAATCAAAAAGTATTTATTAAAATAAAGCCTTTTTTTAAATAAATAATTAAAGTATTAATTAAAATAAACACATATTTACTTCAAAGAAATACTTAAAGTATTCATTAAATTCCTTCTTTATTTAAAATGTACTTAAAAATTTAATTATAATAAACCCTTTTTTAACGAACAAAAAAAAGGGTGCGTGTACTTATGTAGGCGCGTAAGAAGTTATACTTCTTTGGCTTTCTTAATTTTTTTAAATATTTAATATTTAGTATATTATTCAATTATTAATAATAATAACTATGATTATTTATTATTTTATTATATTATTCATTCAATTTAATAACTAGGTATGTTTCATAATCTTTAAACTAAGTAACAATAGGTCTTTGTGAAAAAGCATTGCTAAATTTCTTTGAAAAAATAATTAAAACTCCTTTATTTGTTTTGACAAAGGTCATTATGGTCATACAAAATTCTTGGCACAGCTGCTAACTTCGCGCATATTCTATTTCTTTTTACTTGTAGATTGTCTTATTCCCATCTCGCTCGCGATCGCTCGGCGTCCGGCTGGTTTAAAAAGAATTCGTTAGTGGGCAACTTCACACTGATAATTTTGTGTCACGGTGCGCGCGCATCATAAAATTTCACTCTCATCAATTTTTCATAACGCGCCTAAAGAAGTATAACTTCAAAAATACTTTAAGTATTCGTTAAAATATACTTTTTATTTTTAAAAGTAAGATATTTCTTTTAACTCAGCTGTCTGAAAATTCTCGAACATGTTCTTAAATGTTAAATGTGGGTACTTTCCTAGGTCATGTCGATCCTTCTCCACGGAGATGCTGCCTTTGCCGGCCAAGGCGTGGTCTTCGAGACTATGCACTTGTCAGACCTGCCCGAATACACCACCCACGGCACCATTCACATTGTGGCCAACAACCAGATCGGGTTCACCACGGACCCTAGGCATTCCAGGTCGTCTGCTTATTGTACAGGTAAGTTCAGGAAAATAAATATTAAATTGTTTATAAAAAAAATTTAATATGTGGATAGAAAAAACTGTATGTAGCAGAAATACAGAACAGTAACCTAAAATAAAACCAGAAAAATATATAAGATATATTATTAAGGATTTTCACAATAAACCACGAATTGTTTCTCTGAAAATACAAAGATCTTGTTTTATTGATCACACTTTTATAATAATACAACATTTATTGTCTAACTTTTTTTTTACACGCTTTATATTAGCTTCACCTGTATGTATGTATGTAACCGACTCCTTCGGACTCGATTTTGACCCACTTTTAACGGACAGATTTAATTCAAACTTTGCGCACCTGTCAAAGATCGATGACAATGCAATAATCCGAAAAAAAAAAAAAAAAAAATTAACTAAAAAATAAATAATAGTTTAAAAAAACTAAAAAACTAGCGTGGGGCGCTCTGTGCCATATTTTTCGTCTATCGAGCAACCCACGCTTTTTCACAATAATACCAGTATTTTTTGTTCATTACCATTTTCAGCCTAAATTAGGAATAATTTTTCACTTTTTAGTTTGATGTGCTTTAAAAGCGTGTTTTTTAGTTTTTTTAAACTATTATTTATTTTTTTCTTCTTTATTTTACAAATAAATATAATACAATCATAATAAGTTACATTAGAAGACCGCTGTGGTTTTGCGTCTTGTTTAGGAGCGCGACAAATGCATATAAAAGTAGATTTTTAATTTTCTGTTCATATTGGTTGGCGTTAGGCAATCTAATATGTGATTGGGTAGACCATTTATTAGCCGCGGTAGCAAATACCTCAACGTTCTCTCGCCGTATTGTTGTTTGCTCTCGATGTACTGAGCCGAACTTGCGTTACCGCTCGGGTCTGTACGTCATGCTCCACTCGTTTTTTTATGTCATCTCGAAAAAAAGTGCTCGACTAGAAGACATTTATTAACTTTTTCTGATATGGGCAATATTTTAAAGTGTTTGAAAACTCCTATAACTATAACAATTATTATTAAGTCTCACCTGAAATACAAAGAAACGACATTTAAAGTTCACTAATATCGCCTCCACAATTATATAATGTAATCTATATTTTTATAATACAATGCACTAATTAATCTGCACGTCATCCGCCATTCCATCGCGCGTCACTCCGATGCGTCCCCAACTACTACCAACTTTGACAGACAACTTATAAAAACGCGCTAAATTCAGATGAATGAAATATCAATTCATTACAAATATATTTGTTTTTCACATAAAATAACGATTACCTGTGCTGGATGAAAATCTCCGTAGCTTAATTAGTCATTGTTCAAAATTTCATCAGCATCACCTTGATGGAAGTGTTCCACTGGTCGCTTCACAAGACATATTCTTTTCCGAACTAGCGAACTGTGAAACTTTTTTGGCAAACTAATTTATAAGTCTTGTTCATATTTATACAAATCTAAAACTTTAGATTTCCGAGACTTAGAGGGAGGGGAAAAGGAAGATATGTTAGGAATTTAATGAATTTAATTGTCATTAAAATATTAAGTGTCGAAAATTAATACAAATAATAAAAAAAAAATTTTTTTTCTGCGGTTATTTGCAATCAGCCCCAAGGCTATGAGCGAATTTTTTCTGTGGTGCTGTCATGTGGAGTGACTTCCCATTGGAAGCATCTACTCATCTTCTGTCTAGAGCTACTGCCGGTCTTCTAGCTCTAGAATATGGTGACGTTTTAGTCGACTCACATACTGTCTAATGGTGAGTTGGCGAGCAAGTTCATTCGGGTGACAGCTTAACCGCTCTTTGTATTTAGCTGCCAGTCTCCGGATTTCCTCTTTGATAGTTCTCATTTTAAGGTGCTCGTGAACTTCGTTGTTGGTTATGTACCATGGTACTTTTGCAACTGCTCTTAGGATCTTGTTCTGTTGTCGCTGGAGTATATTTATGTTGGTATCACTTGCGCTGCCCCACAGTTGGAGGCCATATGTCCAAATGGGGGCTTTAGGATGACTTTATATATAAGAAGTTTGTTATCTAGAGAAAGTCTTGAGTTTCTTCCTAGCATCCAGTAAAGGCTGTTGTACTTTAGCTGTAGCTCCTGCTTTTTACATTTGATGTGGTGCCTCCACGTTAATCCACGATCAATGTGTAAGCCAAGATATCTTAAAAAATAATAAATTTAATTTTTAAAATTTATTTCTTCGATAATAAAAACACGTGGCATTTTAATTTACAATTCGTCATTCGATATTTCAATAAATTATTTTGCGTAAAATATAAAATACAATTATTTCATAAATTCTTTTTACTTAATTTTAAAAATAGAATTTATGTAAGGTAATTCGCCCTTCTTACTCTCTCTGAATCAGTCTGAATCGCTCTCTCCCTTTTCTTCGATAAAAACGCTGCACGTCTTCGTGACGCTCCGTAAAAAATTTACCCTCATGCGCCTAAAGAAGTTTCACCTCAAAAATTAAACGCGTTTAGTTTCGTCCGAAATATTGATGATACAGTTTAACTGGCTCTGATTGGCTTCCATCTACATATATTGACATATATAATTCTTTACAGACGTGGCTCGCGTGGTCAACGCCCCAATATTCCACGTGAACAGCGACAACCCCGAAGCCGTGATGCACGTGTGCAACGTGGCGGCCGAGTGGAGATCCACCTTCCACAAGGACGTGGTCATCGACATTGTCTCCTACCGCCGCAACGGCCACAACGAGGTGGACGAGCCCATGTTCACGCAGCCGCTCATGTACCAGAAGATTCGGAAGACTAAACCTGGTATGGGGTCCTTTTGTAAAACGTAACGATGCGGGGCGGGGATTGAATTACGCGTTATTGTTAATATTATTTTCGACTTTCCAGTACTTTACATAAGGCTATGTTCAGAAACATTTGACGCGTGTTGTCTAGACGCAGGTGATCGCGCAGGCGACTGTTCAGTTAAGCGCGCGCTTTCATCGCGATTGTACGATTTTTTTTGTGACTTGCTTTGGTATTCAGTTCAAAATGAGCGAATCTCAATATATTGAAATAGATTTACTAATTGATAAACTGGAAAAGGCCAGCGATTTGGGATATTACTTCAGAATCCTATAAAAATAAAATTATAAAACGACGTGCTTGAAGAGGGAAGAATTGATTTTCATTTTCTGTAATGATACCGATTCTCAAGAAGACTTTTTTGTAATATAACCACAAAATAATAGCTTCTTCCACGTCCATTTTTTAAGCTCTATCGAAACAGACTGACGAGCGCTCACACTCCACACCGCGCGCTGCCTTTTCATCTGAATCTTTATAAATTCGATCCGCGTTGACCTGCGTTAACGCGCTTACATGAACTCAGCTAACTGGTAACTCTTGGTATAAAGATTCACTGGTGATCGCTTACTAAACTATCTGGGGAAACTTACGCTTACATGAGGGATAATCTCCAAAAATTGCGTGAGGTACCTCAAAAGATAAAAAAAGTGTGTTTTTTTTTTTTTTCTCCTTGTAAAAAATATCCTTCACTGGCATGGTGACAAATAGTTTTTGATTGCATGCAAATAATTAATTACAATTAAATAATCAAAGACTGGAAAAGGGTCTTTGTCTTAAGTTCAGTTTACATTTGAAAAATTAAATAAATAATTATTTATAATTACGTTACAGCGTTGTTACATGGTAAGTGAAAATTTTATTTTTGGTAAATGACAAAGATTATGGTCATTCAAAATTCTTGGCATACGAACTTCACGCATATTCTATTTCTTTTTACTTGTAGATTGTCTCATCTTTTTTTCCCCCCTTTTTTTTTTTTTAAAATTGCGTGCATCGTAATACTTAACGCTCCCTCATAAATTTTTCATAACCCCAAACATAATAAAAAAACTCTCTCACGCATTGTCACGTGACCGCATACAAATTCGATTCATTCGTTAGTTTATTTGTACCTTTTGGTAATAAAACTATTGTATTTGTATCAAAATTTGAAGATTTTTCATTGACGAACATAATTTATTAAATCAGTGGCGCTACAACCTTTTTGAGTCTGGGCCTCTGATTTGTATCTAATAATCTAATAAGATTGACAAATGATCATGAAACAAATCAGCCTCCTGTGGCTGACACGCCGTCGACTTTTTGAGTCGGTTTCCTTACGATGTTTTCCTTCACCGTTCGAGCGATAAATGCGCACATAGAAAGAAAGTCCATTGGTGCACTACCGGAATCGAACCTACGACCTCAGAGATGGGAGTCTGCTCTACACAATTTAGTTATACGTTGTAAATCATCTTAATAAATGAAAAAATTGCAGTACTCGAAATCTACGCGGACCGTCTCATCACGGAGGGCGTGGTCACGGCCGAAGAGGTCAAAGACGTAAAAGATAAATATGAAAAGATCTGCGAAGATGCGTACAACCAGGCCAAGCAGGAGACACATATCAAGTACAAGGACTGGCTCGACTCGCCCTGGTCTGGCTTCTTCGAGGGCAAGGACCCACTTAAGGTGAATTGCTGAATTGTTTTAATTGAATTTTTACATAGAATAATCCAAATTGTTATAATAATAATACTTGCGGACCTGAATACGTTGTCCTGTAGATATCATTAAAACTAAATTTTAATCTTAAAAAAAAAGAAAGAAAAAAGCAACATGTGTCAACAATTCACAAGTGGTAGAACAGAAATCTCAAAAACAATGTTTTTTAATTGATAATATGTAAATTTGACTTTTTTCACTATCAAATTATAATATTTAATAACTTTAATATCAATCTTTAATTTGGTAAAAACTAAAATAATGAAAGTTTGTAATTCGATGAAATAAAAAAGCGGCAGTAAAAAGAGACGGAGACATATATTAATAAGATTGCACGTGGGAAAGAATGAGATAGGAAGCATTATACAGGGTATAAACTTTAAATTAGTGAGTTTGATCATATTCTTATTTTATTTTTTCTTTGATTATTGTTATTTTGTGTTTTTTTCTTAGTAATAAAATTTTATGTCTAATAGCAAAAAATATTTAGATTTTGTTGTAAATGTTTAAAAATTGTTGTTACTAAGGTATTCCTGCACACGTTGAATTGATAACCTCCTATATTTTTGGAGTCGGTTAAAAATAAAACAGTTTTCATTGCTTTTAGTTGTAGGACTAGTTTTAGTTAAGGCCCCAAATTTGGTGAACTAAACCTAATTGGCAAGTTTTGTCATACAATTGGTGAACTAAAATGTTTATATATTACCATCAGATGTCCCCAACCGGAGTGGTAGAAGAAACGCTAGTCCACATTGGAAAGCGTTTCTCCAGCCCTCCCCCCAACGCAGCCGAGTTCGAGATTCACAAAGGTCTGCTACGTATCCTCAAAGCCCGCATGGAGATGGTCGAGAAACGCACCGTGGACTGGGCGTTGGCCGAGGCCATGGCTTTCGGCTCTCTGTTGAAGGAAGGTATCCACGTTCGACTCTCCGGAGAAGATGTGGAGAGAGGAACTTTCTCGCACAGGTATTTTACAATATTTGTGATACAGATTTTAAAAGCCGGCAACGCAAGCGAGCCCTCTGGCATTGAGAGTGTTCATGATTCACTAAACAAAAAAAGTTTACGTGTCAGAAGTGAAACTTCTTTGGCAAACTAATTTTTAAGTCTTGTTCATATTTATACAAATTTAAAACTTTAGATTTCCGAGACTTAGAGGGAGGGAAAAAGGAAGATATGTTAGGAATTTAATGAATTTAATTGTCATTAAAATATTAAGTGTCGAAAATTAATAACAAATTATAAAAAAAAAATTTAATTTATTTCTTCTATAATAAAAACACGTGACATTTTCATTCACGAAATTTGAGATTTCAATAAAATACTAATATTTCATAAATTCTGTTAACGAAATTTTTATTTCAAAAATAGAACTTCTAGGTAATTCACCCTTCTCACACTCAAAACGCTGCACATTTTCGTGACGTTCCGTAAAAAATTTACCCTCATGCGCCTAAAGGAGTTTCACTTCAATAAATGAAATGGTTATCCCAAGGGTAGGTGTAATAGGATAATTTTGGTAAACTATTTTTTTTACTGGAAAAATGTTGATAGGATCTTCTTGTATCTTGAATCAGACAGCAGTAACGTGATAGAAGACTGGTTGTAAAGAGAGTTAATACACGTATTTATTCCACAGACACCACGTACTGCACCACCAGAAAGTGGACAAGGCGACGTATTGTGCGCTGGCGCATCTTTACCCCGATCAGGCGCCTTACACTGTCTGCAACAGCTCCCTATCCGAGTATGGTAAGTGCATTTCTTTAACGAAATAAAAGCTATTTTATTATATTTAAGACCTTCGGTGACGGTTGTTGCAGCATGTTCTAATAAATGCAGCTCTTTGTTTGAAGCTGTGTGTCAACTGGCTTTAATTATTAAAACATGGGCTTATAACTAACACAAAATTAGGGGTTGTGGGGTTGCGACGCTAGATTAATAAAAAACTAACTTGACTAATTTAAGGGTTCCTAAATCTAAGGGCCACTTTTATCATATTTAAAGAATATAACTGAAGTTGACCTATTAGACATTATTGGAAACGAGAATATTAAAACTAGCCCCCGGGACCTTGGTTTCTCCTTATTATGATTTTACATAGCCTACCTTTGTAGTACATTTTGCAATGCTACCCCTGTTAGGTTTTCCGGAATGAAAACTTTATGGTTTTCTGTGAATTTTTCTCTATATAAACTTCAGAGTTCAAGTCATAAGATTTTAATTAACAAATTAAAATAGGGGGTTGATCGTATGGGGGTGAAAATTAAGGGATGTATTTTTTTTTGTATGCTGTATCATAAAAAAAAAACAAAAAAATAATTAATTAATTAAAAAATTAAATAAAAATTAATAAAAAAATGGGGTGGACACGCCTTAGCACTTAGGTGTTTGAAAGATATATAGTAGCCGATTCTTAGACTTACTGATAAAAAAAATCATAAGAATTGAGCCGTTTCGGAGGAGTATGGGAACGAACATTCTGACACGAGAAATTTATATCTTAATATATATATTTCTTCTGTGCGTGTGTATGTGACTGAACTCCTCTCAAACGACTGGACCAATTTTGATGAAATTTTTTGTGTGTGTTCAAGGGGATCTGGGAATGGTTTAGATTCACAAAACAGCCCGGCAGATGGCACTGCAGTCGGTACTTTCATACTTTGCTTAATATCCTAATCGCTTTAAATATCATGCAGGACAACGTCTGTGGGGTCCACTAGTATATATATATATATATATATATATAGAGATTTATTAGTGTGAAACTAAAGGGCTCATTTTGGCTTTAAGTTTTTTTTATGTAATAGAAGTCAAACGGGCAGAAGGCTCACCTGATGTTAAGTGATACCTCCGCCCATAAACACTCACATTGCCAGAAGGCTCGCAAGTGTGTTGCCGGCCTTTTAAGAATTGGTATGGTCTTTTCTGTGCGATAATTGCTAACATTTACATAACTCCTTTGATTTTTTTTTCAGGTGTACTTGGCTTCGAAGTGGGTTACTCGGTGACCAATCCAAATGCCCTCGTGCTTTGGGAGGCCCAGTTCGGAGACTTCAACAACGTGGCCCAGTGCATCATTGACCAGTTCATCTCCAGCGGTCAGGCCAAGTGGGTGCGACAGTCTGGTATTGTCCTGCTGCAGCCTCACGGTATGGAGGGCATGGTAAGTCTATATATAAAAAGTCTTTGAAATTATTATAACTCTGCTTTCTCTTTCTCTTTCATCTCTTACACAATTCATTAAAATTATATAAATTCAAGCAATTGAAAATATTCCGATGTTACATTAACAATACCCATAGAAAAATGTGGCGGCCAATTGGTACGCTCTTTGAAGGACCTTAAGTCGAATTGGTTCGGAAATAGTTCAGTCATATAAATCTTGCAAAAAAAAAAATTATATGAATTAGACGTTAACTAAGGATTATTCAGAGTCGAGTCTTAACGATAAGTGACTTAGGGACCTTCAAGAAAAGAGCGTACCAATTCAAAGCCGGCAACGCACTTGTGAGCCTTCTGGCAATGTGAGTGTCCATGGGCGGCGGTATCACTCAACATCAGGTGGGCCTACCCGTTTGCCTCCTATAAAAAAAGTATGACTCATTATATTTATTTATTAACACTTCGATGCATGTACATAAATATACTATTCGTATGCATGTACATAAATATACTATTCGTATGCATGTACATAAATATACTATTCGTATGCATGTACATAAATATACTATTCGTATGCATGTACATAAATATACTATTCGTATGCATGTACATAAATATACTATTCGTATGCATGTACATAAATATACTATTCGTATGCATGTACATAAATATACTATTCGTATGCATGTACATAAATATACTATTCGTATGCATGTACATTAATATACTATTCGTATGCATGTACATAAATATACATTATTAAATAAAAAGGAGGGCTGGCGGCCTTATCGCTTTTGAGCGATTTACTCTAGGCAACCACTTATATATTATAATATTTGATATACATAAATCATTTTGAGAAGAGATAGAAGAGATAGCGGCAGTTAAATAGGTGGAATTGTGGAATCTGACCAGTTCTGTATAAAAACAGGCAGTTATGCGTATAAGTCTAATTTGGTTGATTTTCTTTATTCATGTTTGCAATATCAAAATGACATGCGCCATCTGATTTGTTCTACTGTATGTTGTGTCTATGGTATAATGAAGTGTCAGTTGGTTCTGATTCTAAGCGAAGACGCACGTTGCTTCGTTATAAGACACAAACATATATAGGGTTGCCTGGAAGAAATCGCTTGTTAGCGATAAGGCCGCCCGCTGCCTAATAACTCATGTGATATAAGTATACTTTTTGGGTTTTTTTTCTTCTATATATATAATTATGTTTATTATGGCAATGAAGTATAAATAAATATAAATAAAAAATACACATTTCCGTTTACGAACTATAATGGTGTTGTCGAAATAATTAAAAAGGCAGCACAGCGACCTCGAATATCACGGTAATTTCCCTAGACTCTGAGAGCTGTAGATGAGTTGTATATTCAGCAGAATATTAAGAAAATAATGTAAATTGTAGGGCCCAGAGCACTCGTCCGCCCGCCTTGAGCGTTTCCTGCAAATGAGCTCCGACGACCCTGACTACATGCCGCCCGAGAGCCATGACTATGAGGGTGAGTTAAAAAAAAAAAAAATATATATATATATATTTATATATATATATTTATTTATATATATATATATATTTATTTATATATAACATATATTTATATATATTTTTGGAAAATTGTGTTAGTGAAGTATAGTAATTTAATTTAAATCGAACAATAAGATTCATTTTTATCAATATTGTACACACGAGTATATAATCTATAAATGTTGGTCTGGTAATAATTAGTTGGTAATAAATAATAATAATAGTAATAATCGATCATTATTATAAATTAATTATAAAACTACAAAAGATTTATATATGTATTAAATTTTTTTTTAATCTTTAATCTGACTTTTAAGATTTTTTTCTAATTCGTTAACTGGTTATAGTTAATTTGGTAATTGTGATTGGTAATAATGAGTTGGTAATATTACAGTAGATCAGCTCAACGTCTGTAATGTGTGTAATAGGGTTGTGGCTATTAAATAATCTATCATTATTATACATTAATTTTAAAAGGTCTACAAAACATTTATATATTAAATTGTTTTTATATTTTATTCGACATTAAGACACATTGTTTTTTCTAATTTGTTAACTGGTAATAGTTGTAGTGATTGGTAATAATGAGTTGGTAATGTTACAGTACGTCAGCTCCACGACTGCAACTGGATAGTGGCAAACTGTTCCACTCCAGCATCGCTGTTCCACATCCTGAGGCGTCAGATCGCGTTGCCCTTCCGCAAACCTCTCATCCTGATGACGCCCAAGTCGCTCTTGAGACACCCCGAGTGCAAATCCTCCTTCGACGACATGGCCGAAGGCACTACGTTTAAGAGGTTGGTTTAACGAATTATTTAAATTTATGTTTTTTTTTTTAAATTTGAACACGAAATTTGAGAACAGAAAAGACATTTTTCTTCGAGAGTTTTCGGACCTGTGTGTTCAAATAAAGATATATTTCTCTAGTGAGAAGAAATTTACAATAATTTGTCAAGTTCCACAGTTAGTTTTGCGTAACTTTACACCTGTTACAATTTTGTTGTATAATTAAACTAAATGACTATTAAATCGATCTTTATAGATTATTCTTTTGTATTGCCGTGAGATTAGCTATTTAGTTTATTTTAGATCAAGGTTCTATATTTTTGTAATAGATTTGATTAAGCACTTTGTGCACTTTATCCGTAATTTTTAAATGTCTGTTTATACATACTATCATTTATATTATTTCTTTCGATTTTATTTTTAATTTTAGTTATAGTTGCATGTTATTTTTAGTATCTTTTTGTTAATTAATTATGCATTTCTTGTACTTTACCCTCTGTAGGTGTTTTTTTTTGGTCCATATTAGGTTTGCCTGGAAGAAATCGCTTGTTAGAGATAAGGCCGCCCGTTGCCTTATAACTCTTGTAACCTGATTTTTTTATTTTTGTTATGGGTATTTTTTGAATAAGGTAATAAAGTATAAATAAATAAATATTTATTCTTTTAGTTTTTCCCTTACTAGGGTTGTGTCGAAGAGATCGCTTTTTAGCGATAAGGCCGCCCGTTGCATCTTTTTTATTTTTTAAGTATCATGTTATTTGTTTTCGTATGAATGTCCTAGTTTCAAATCGCGGTCCGGGTCTACCGCGTTATAGAGATTACTGTACTTCTGAGATATATATATATATGTATATATATCTTTTCAATAAATATAATGTTTTTTAAAGAGTGCTGCCAGAGGAAGGCCCGGCTTGTGAGAATCCCGAGAAAGTCCGGAAAGTAGCTTTCTGCTCTGGACGCGTTTACTACGACCTTCTCAAGGAACGACGTGACAGAGGGCTGGAGAAGGACATCGCTATTGTTCGGTGAGACTTTTTTATTAATATTTGAATAAAAAAGAAAGTAATAATAAATGTGAATTAATTACATTATTAAAATAACGTGACAGCGGTGTTGGTCTAGTGGCTTTGGCTGAGGTCGTAGGTTCGAGCCACGGCTGTGCACCAACGGACTTTCTTTTTATGTGCGCATTTAACATGCGCTCGAACGGTGAAGGAAAACATCGTGAGGAAACCGACTTGCCTTTGACCCAAAAAAACAACGGCGTATGTCAGGCACAGACGACTGATCACCTTCTTGCCTATTAGATTGACAAATGATCATAAAACAGATACAGAAAATGTGTCGAGTTTGGCAATCGCGGTCGACGTAAGAGTCAACGTTAATAGTTTTGAGTAATTCATATTCAGCTATCAAATCAATCAACATCGGGATCAACATTTTGCTATCAAAATAGGAATTATATTTTTTTACTTGACTTTAAAATTCAAAAAAATCCATAATTTAACAATTTTGGTATATGGTAAAATAAAAACTAATTTATATAACAGTTAAAATATATAATTATCTACTTTATTAAATCACCTACTTCTACTACGTGATCAAAAAATTAAGTCAATTTCCGCTTTTAGCTGAAGTACTCTTCTCTCTTTTCATCACAGCGTGAACACAATTAGAGAGAAAGAGACGGAAGACTTTTTTTGTAAAATAAAGAGGTAAATAAAATTCCAGCTTGGAGCAAATATCTCCGTTCCCATACGATCAGCTGAAGAGTGAGATCGCGAAGTACCCCAACGCTCAGCTCGTTTGGAGCCAGGAGGAGCACAAGAACATGGGTTCGTGGAGCTACGTGGAACCCAGATTCCGCACCCTGCTGAGGAACCAGAAACAAATTAGGTAATTATTTTGTATATTATAAGACTCAATTTTAATGTCTTCTGATTTTCAAAGTACAGTGTAAACCCTTTATAACGAATTTCAAGGGACCGTCCATTTTTTTTCGTTACAGAGAATGTGCGTTATAGGGAGTGAATAGAAAAAAACAAATTGATCCAATTACAATAATTTTAAAGTTTTGTAAGCTGATTATAAAATCAATTACACTTAAGTATGTTGTTGATTAAATGAAATATTTCTTCGCTATAGAGAATGGCTGTTTCGTTATAAAGAATTAATTAATGTATGTGTTTTCTGACACATACATTATTTTTGACAGAGACAAAAAAATATTATCGAAATCCTATGCCGTTAGACAAGTTGAACAAATCGCCATTTTGATACGTTTATGAATAAGATCGTTATACAATTATTAAGAATACAAACCGACAAAACATCAGATGCAAGCATGACATAATATTTATGGTACAGGAAACTATTTTTATCAATTTAAAAACAATTTGACAAAGAATTATAAATTAATTGAATTTCCCTTTTTAAATAAAAATCCTAAATACGCGTGACTGCTGTTTCTATTTGTTGTTTAAATATAGTGTAAACTTTTTTTAACGAATTTCATGGGACCGAGGATTTTTATTCGTAATAAAGAGGTTTTGTTATAGAGAGGGAATAATTAATATATGCGTTAAACCAAATAAATTCAAATAACTTTTTTACGTTATAGAGAGTTTATCGTTATATCGAATGAAGTTATAAAGAGTTTACACTGTATATTTAACCAGTTAAAATGTTTATATATTTACAATAATTTATTTCAAATGTTAAAATTAATAGACGCATCTATAATCAAAATACTTTGACTTGAAGAATCTCATTATTTTAATATATTTGGGGTCTCAAACAAACAAAAATGCTTCGCTTAATCTAAAATAATTGTATTTCTTCACGTGACCATTTTCATACAATTTCTTTTGTCGCGAACTATTTCGGTCGCAGGTTCCACATATTTAAAACTAAAGCGTAGCTCGCAGTTATGTAAAACTTTTCTATAGTAAATCAAACATAGGTATACGTTAATGCAACTCTGACAGTACGAACGCGTTCGTTACATTTAACATGGCAAATACGGTCATACTTTAAATTTTTCGTACGATCACACGTATACGTGATTAGGGTGCCTATTGACGCATATGAAGACGCCGTAACGTACTTGGTTACAGGCGTAGTTCGGAAGGGGGCGGGTGGTTTAGCCAACTCTTGGGCCGCAGTGAGACACAGACAGACACACAAACCGAGATCATTCCGCGCACCATTAGGTGAGAATAGACGCATTATGCTGCTTGATAACGATTCAACGGGTTTTGTTGCTTTTGTGGCGATTATTTCTTATATTTCGCAGATGTGTGGGTGGTCAATATTTAGTACTGGATTTTATGATTGGCAATGTATCTATTACGAATCATTTGTTGTCTGCAAGCTGCGTTTTGTTCAAACTCATAATAACTTTATTCATATAGGTAAACAAGAACACTTATGATTTGTGAACGTCAGAAAATTATGTTAAATTAATTGTAAATTTACATTTACTACCAAATCGCAAGTCAAGACGTAGAGCGGGCAAGAAGAACTGGCAAGAAACTCTCCGCCACTCTTTTTAATCGCTAAGTTTTGAGTAATACAAATTGTTTGAACTGGAGCAAATCAATCCCAAGGATTAGGATTATTTAAATATTCGTCAAATTTATAAAAAGCTTTATTGAATTTACGTTTAACGAGGGCTTTGAATTTATTCAGTAATAATTCTCTAATTTCGCTTGGGAGTTTGTTGTAAAAACGAATACAATTTCCATATAAGGAGTGGTTTATCTTCTGGAGCCTGATTGTAATTGGTCGTACGCTTAGATTACTTCTGTTTCGAGTATTATACTGGTGAAAGATTTGTTTTAAAATCGTGTATATTTTTTTGTATAAACAACAAGGCTTCAAGAATATATTGACCAGATAGTGTCATAATATTAAATTCCTTAAACTTTTCGTTCGTCGCCTATAGCGTTAATGCGTTTTTGTTAAAAACACAAAATAACTTTATGCATCATTTATCCAAGTACACTTATTAACAGAATAGATGTTAAATTAAATTCAAAATTTACATTTACTACCAGTTCAAGGGCGTAGAGCTGGCAAGAACTCACTGCCACTCTTTTTAATTGCCAAGTTTTGAGATATACAGAGTTATTTTAAGCATTTAGTTTTGGGTTCTCAAAATAATAAATTCGAAATAAACTCTTATGTCGGCTCATTTAAACTAAAAATACTATACATTATACAATTAAAAGTTATTTTATAAAATTACCAGTAAATCAAAAAGAGACAAACATATGTATACCCCATCATCTCATCATCCAGTAGACCAGTAGGTATAATCCGGACTGCGTTATAGGAAATCGCGTTGTGAAATATTCTCGTAAAATCGTTTGTTTGAACAATTCAAAAACTAGGAATACGAATTTAATAAAGTTATTGAATTTATTTTTATAACAACACAGTTGAAGGTGCAAAGATACGCAAAACTATATCTGGACTTGACAATTCACTACAGAAATATATTGGTGTCAAGACCACCACCATGATGGCTGGAAGTCTTCCACAGTCCGTTTACAAGACACTTTCTTTGGAAACTAGCGAACTGTGGAATCGACTCCCGGTGGAGGTCTTCCCTGAGAGATACGACCTGCAACTATTCAAAATTCGTGTGTCCTCCTTCAAAGGCCGGCAACGCACCCACAAAAAATTGGTGTCTATGGGCTGCGATGACTGCCCTTTTTTGGGCGTCTCCCAGGCTCGTTTGCCCCCTTATTATATATATATAAAAAACAACGCGTTATATGGGGGACGGCATTCGCGTTATACGAAACGCGTTATAGGGGGAATTAATGTACAGCTCTGATAAGCTTATTTTGAAGTAGGTTCGATTTCTTAACTAGATCTGCCTTAGTTGACAGTTGTTTTCTTTATTTATTCATTTCGTTTCATATAGTTCATAATTGTACATAGTCAATATGCATAACTGAATATTGTTTGCAGCTACAACGGCCGAGCGACCGCCGCATCTCCGGCCACAGGCTCCAAAGCCGCCCACAACAAGGAGCTGAAGAACTTGCTCGACGAATTTTGCGTTTTATAAATATTTTCAAACTAAAATTTTCTCCCACAGAAGGCAATAGTTTTTTCGAAATTGTATCTCGGAATTTCTTTTCAGTATTTTTTATTACTTAGAGTACTTAGGTAAATTCTTATTTATTTTTTCTAGTTTTACTTTTGACGTTTCGATGTAAATAAAGTGTAGTGTAAATTTGTAGTTGCCGTTGAGTCAAAGCCCTTTGTTAGTCGGAGCTGCGTAACTTGAGGCACGATATCTGTAATTTATGATATTGTTTAAAATATTTTTAAACTTACTGTAAAAATTTAATATTTAATGGCCATAGGCAATCCTATAAATACTATAACAGTCTACTAACACCTTTAGCTAAATCTCAGTCTGACCCTGATATTAAAAAAAAAGTCTCACAGGAGTGTGAGTAGACTGATTTAGTTGTAAGGTGAGTTAAATTCCTGTTATGCATTAAAACTATGTATAAACAAGTAGAATTTTGAATTAAGAACTAAACTAAATCGAGTTTTAAATTTACTATTGTAGTTCGAATTTTAAATCGAAAAGAGTTCGAAATTTGACTAAGATCGAAAAGAGTTCGAATTTTGAAGAAAAGTAATTTTAAATTAAGAACGAAAAGAGTTCGAATTTTGAATTAAGAACGAAAAGAGTTCGAATTTTGAATTGAGAACGAAAAGAGTTCGAATAGAGAAAGTAGAATTTTGAATTAAGAACGAAAAGAGTTCGAATTTTGAATTAAGAACGAAGATGTTTCAATAAAAATTCTTGTATACTTCAATGATATTTCAAGATATTACATAGATGTAGCAACGTAGGCTTTTGGCTGTAATTTCAATAGTTACCGCGGCACGGCTGTCTGTAAGGGTAAACACCAAATCATTTTGAATTTAGCAATTTAGGCGTATTATATTGTCCAACACATGCTTTGTTTTGTGCACATTTTTTTGAAATCGGCTCAGAGTGAATGTATGTAAGGTTATGAATGAATGTTTGAAAGGTCTGAGCTATTTACGTTACATTGTCTAGATTTACAAATATACATATTCGAATGCTAACGTTGTTTTATTTATCCGTAATTTTTTGACCCCAAAGCTAGGACCATAGACGGTAGAGCAGTGTTGGCCTAGTGGCTTCAGCGTGCCACTCTCATACCTGAGGTTGTTCGATCCCCGGCTATGCACCAATGGACTTTTTATGTGCGCATTTAACATTTACTCGAACGGTGAAGGAAAACATCGTGATGTAACCTTGCCTTAGACACAAAAGTCGACGGCGTGTGTCAGGCACTGGAGGCTGATCACCTACTTGCCTATTAGATTAATAAATTATCATAAAACTGATTCAGAAATCTGAGGCCAAGACCTAAAGAGGTTGTAGCGCCACTGATTTATTTTGATTGCAAAATTTAAAATTTCGGCAATTTGTTCACTGGGCCATTGGGCACAAGGCCATTGAAATGTGGGGAATTGAGTAGAAGATTCACTCATAGCGTCTATACCAATTAGATTTGCTTATTCACTCTATTGCACATTCAGGAATTAAAAATAATAACCTAAAAAAAGATTAAACGAATCAAAGCGTTCTTTTTCAGGAAACCATATAAAAGAATTGCGTAGAAGTGCAGGAGTGCAAACCCTTCCCGACAAAAAGGCTCGAAGGAGGTTCTAACGGAACCAATGATCCGGATGATCCAATCACCGTAACTAACAACAATCTAAAAGCGCGGAAAATAATAATAGTCAAAAACAGATTAAGGTAAAAAACCACCTTCGCTCACTCCAGTGAGCTTCCTTCCTGCCCTTCAGATTGACAACCTCGCGACGGCCCAAGGGCCAAGCTGAGGTCCCGAGTCTCGCAGGAGACGCCCTTGCGCTAGTCGGGGAAAAAATGCCCATTACGGCCGAGCTACGCTCGCTAAAACAGCGCGAGCTGAGCTGTAAAGGCCCTTAAGGCCATATTTAAAAAAAAGCAGGAGTGTGAAAATAAATCAAATATATCTATATTTTATATTAATATAAACAACCAATATATAATATTTCTTTGCAGTGTTTGTGTGGACCACATTTACGTTTATGTCTAAATAAAATAAAAAAAGGGTGCGTGTACTTATGTACGCGCGTAAGAAGATAAACTTCTTTGGCTTTCTTTATTTTTTTTAATATAATTAATTAATATTTAACGTAAACAATTTAATAATATTTAATATTTAGTATATTATTCAATTATTAATTAATATTAATTACAATTATTATTGTTATTTTATTATATTATTCATTCAATTTAATAACTTGGTATGTTTCATAACCTTTTAACTAAGTAACAATAGGTCTTTGTGAAAAAGCATTGCTAAATTTCTTTGAAAAAATAAATTAAAACTCCTTTATTTGTTTAAAAGGTAAATGTCATTATAGTCATTCAAAATTGTTGGCATAGCTGCTAACTTCACGCATATTCTATTTCTTTTTACTTGTAGATTGTCTTATTCCCATCTCGCTCGCGCCCGGCTATAATC